AAATGAATATTGCAATTTTACTTTGAAGTTTGAACAATGTGTCACCCTGGCACTGCAACTTCAACAAACAAATTAATCCCTCTGAAAGAAAGTTATTTGAATTCTATCTGCCTAAAAATGAAAAATCAATTGGTCTTTTACCATATTTTAAGCTAACAAAAGATTACAAAATTTTCACAAAATTTATTCTTTTCAAGGATACATCAGATGTGGGGTTCTGTCTTACTTATCTCATAACTAAAACTAATATGAGCAGAGTTGGAACTCCAGAGGAAAGAAAAGACCCATCACTTCCTTGAGTATGTATTCTCAGATTGCTGAGGCCTGCATTCAGTGCATGCTATGCGAGATGGAGGAGGGACATTTTCTAAGAGACTAATTCGTGTTGTCTGCCGCTTCTCTTCATTCCCAGGAACATGAAGGAGTGCTTCCATTATTAGGATTTCCCAGTCTCGAGGCAGGACATAGGAATACCAATTATCATCTGTAAAAGAACCTTGTTTCAAAACAGCATCAGGTTGAAACAGAAATAATACTCCCAGCTTATGAATTATTTGGAACAAGATGGTTTAACAATGACATTTGCTCGAAACAAATAAAGACAAAGTGCTAATACAGCACTTTCCAAATGGAAGCTATTACAAACAAGCCAACCGATAAATGAATGATACATTAAAAGTGAGTGATTTTTGGAGATTATGCTTTTGGGCATGTAATTAATGGGTGGGATCTGAGAGCTTGAATGAGAAAAAGACAGAAGATGTACACAAGAAAAATGAAGAAGAGGATACTAACCTCCATTACGAACTGCCTTCAATTGTAATACTCCAGAGCCTTGTGGTCCAGACACGGGAAATGTGCAAGATACAGAACGCCTCTTGTGAGCTACTGCAAGAGATGCATTGTACCATGGTCCCTTCTTAATTGGTTCCCCAATAGCATCTATAATTGCCTGATTCTTACTGGCTTTCTCCATGGCCTTGCTGAAAAATTATTAGGCCAATTATAAGAACAAGTTTATACCATTGCAAATCGAAAGTGGAGAATGAGAAGAAAATGTAATGTAAGACATTAATTCACAGAACATTAATAATAAGACATGCACATTTTGAGGTGGCTAAACAAAGATAAAGAGGTGCTATACTTGGGAAAAAGACTTTTTATTACTACTGATAGAGAAAAGGAATAAAGTAGCTATTTCCAATGAAAACTAGAAATAATTAGGCAATAAAAACCATCCCTTTGCCCAATTTCCTTGTAACAATATGTTTCTGTCCACCAAACCTATGTTGCAGGGATCAAGTAAAAGATTGTGCCTCATAAGGAGATGCATAAAAAGAACACAAGTCAATGCTATCAAATTCTAAAGATTCCACAGATGCTATGTTCTGCAAAATGAAGTGATATAATTATATGGAGGTATCTCTATCTAAGGCATTCAAGCACTTAAGCATTCAGTGGATATTTTCTAAGCCCTAAAAGAAATCCAAGATACACCTAATTTTGAGGAAGCATATCACCTAAAAATTATTACAGGGCAATTAATCAATTATAATTCAGCATCGTGTAGGGTTCATAAAAAAATTATGTAGAACCCACACTTTTTAAGTGAAATCCTGCATAATTATTTGTTGTGAATGGTTAATTGCATGATTATTGTTAAAAGAATTGTAAGGCATTCAAGCACTTAAGCATTCAGTGGATATTTTCTAAGCCCTAAAAGAAATCCAAGATACACCTAATTTTGAGGAAGCATATCACCTACAATTATTACAGGGCAATTAATCAATTATAATTCAGCATCGTGTAGGGTTCATAAAAAAATTATGTAGAACCCACACTTTTTAAGTGAACTCCTGCATAATTATTTGTTGTGAATGGTTAATTGCATGATTATTGTTAAAAGAATTGTAGGTGAAACACTCCCTAATTTTGCACATTCACGCTTCCTGTCATATTATAAATTTTGTGTGACAAGAAGAAAATGAATTTCCTCCCTTCTTCAGTCTAAATCCTGAAAAAAATCAAAAGTTAGCATGTTGAACTCAAGTATTCCAATCCTCTGTCGTAAGCGCATTAGACATTTCTAATCCTTCATGAATTTTGACATAAAAACCAACGTTATTACATATCTCTGATTGTTTGACTTTATTCCAGTAACAAACTGAACTGAGAAATTTGACAGTTTTCATAATCATGCAGCCATATTATATGATAGGTTCTGCTAGAATCAACCAAAAAAATTATGTATGAACCTAAAAGTGCAAGTCTATTGCTGCAAGTTATGGTTCACAACCTATGTTCAGTATTCAGAACCTAAATGAGAAGACAACTTAAAGAAAATTTAAGATTTACCTCCATCTATATCAACTGGCACTCTGTACAAATGATTCAACAGGGGATTATATGTTATCTAAGGTTCATAACCTATGTTCAGCGTGGGAGTTCAGAACCTAAACAAGAAGACAATTGAAAGAAAACTTAAGATATGCATCCATCTATATTAACCGATGCTCTGCCACAAATGACTCAACAGTGTAATATGCTATCCAAAACAACACTATACTGTAGAACCTCATAGGGAAAAAGCTTCAGTAAAAACAAGCCAGCCCTGCTGAAGAAATAACGAGGCATAACAAGAATTACAGAATGTAAATAACAACCCTAACCGCTAAAGCCCAAAACAAGTATTCCTAGGAGAAGTGAGCAAGGCCAGTATATTCATAATTTTAAAAACATACACACAACGGCCACCATTACAAATCATGTGATTTTTTAGCATACAAAGCCTGATATGAATGATCCAGTTTTGCAGTTTCACAACAAAGAGAGTATCAAGCGAGAAAACACAAGGCAAAATGGAAAAACAAATGCAGTAACATCTCATCATGGTCCCTAAAAGCTCATCGATAGTTTTTGCAAGGATCAAGTGATTCTCATGGTGGCACATCTCATTTGACTAAGCTACATGATTAAAAATCACCAAAAATTGCAGTAAGCAATAACCAACTAACCAAGTAAAAATAGAAAAAGAACATTGTTTCATGCTCAGCCAAACGCAAAAATCTTGTTTTCCATGTTCCAAAAAAAAAAATCCTTAAATTAATAAAACTCAATAGCAATTCCAGATGCAATGGAATATACCTGGAACAACCATGGTAGATAGCAAGGTCATCAAGCGCACTCAAGGCAACACCACCCGTTACAGTAATCAGGACAAAAGACACTGCTTTACCAGCAAATGACTTTCTCTTCTCTTCATTCATAGAATTTCCAGTGCTGTATACGCAATCAAATGAATCAGAAATGACGAAGTTTAACTTATCTTTAGGAGGAGCCTAGAAACACAAAAATAAAAATTTAAGGACTTGAACCCAAAAAAAAAAATCAACTTGTACGGACAGAAAACCAGTGTGACAACTCAAAAGTAACTATCTGAACACTAAATTTCAAATTCTCCATCTGGGATTTGTTAGCCTAAAAACCAACTTCAGGGATTTTCAACTTTTATCAACAATCCAAAGTTTAAATAAATTGAGGTCCCTTGCTTTTTCCCGTTTGGGAACTAAGCACAAACCAACTTTCAATATCTGACAAAAATCTGATAAAACATATATGGGTACTTAAGATTAATGGCCAATTGAATCCCAAAAAAAAAAAAAAACAAAATGCAGGAACTTGAAACTAAAAAAAGAAAGAAAAGTGGGTGAAAAAGGGGAGGCAAAAAGTGTACCTGGAAACTTTTGAAGATGGAGAACTCTTGAAGAAAGAAACCAACCTTCTCGCCAACATATTCCTTTTTATTATACCTCAAAGTCTGTTCCCAAACCCTTCGATTTCAAAGCTTTTCCTTCCTTTCTTTTTTTTTTTTTTTTTTTTGTCTTTTTTGCTGTAACGGAGAGGAATGTAGGGAATGTAGAAGTTGCTTAGAGTCAACTTGAACGATTATGTCGACCCAACTGGGTTGGAACTCCGAGATAATAAACTTTGGGCTTTTTCTGATTGTTTTGTTCCCTATGTTGCAACTGCAACAGGCTCAACCGAGGCCCAATCTTTAGTTACTTTGAACCGAATTTTTTAAAGGTTTTCCTTTTTTTTAATTATTATTTGATACAACTTTAACGAAGTTTTTAAATTATTTATGTTTTATTTTTAAAATATACACTTACGGATTATTAGATAATTATTTATTTATTTAAAATAAAAGTAAGAAATATATAGTTATTCAAAGATTTTGTTTTATTAATAATAGCAATTATTCTTCGTTTATTTTTTTGTTTTTTTTTAATAAATCTCAATTTGTTTATCTTTTACCCAAAATAAATAATAAATATACTTGAATTTTCACTATCCCCTTTTTTTTTTCTATCATTAACATAGAACAAAATACAAATAAAAAAATAAAAATAAAAATAAAAGTTAATCTCTAACTTTTTTTAAAAATATATGCAAATTGATAGGGTCAATCTTTGAAGGAGAGTACTATTCTAATTTGGATGAAACTGAAGTGTTGGGAATTTGTCAAATGATCCAATTCATTTAATCAATTGTATATAAAACCACGAGTAAGACCCGTATTGCTCGACGAGGAGTTTACGGAGATTTATAAAAATATATTTTTTAATGTTAAATTAAAAATATAATAGAATATAATAAATTATTATTTAAAATCAAAATAATTTAGATTTGTCCATTCAATAATTCTACGTACTTTAGATCAAATTATTCATCTACACTACTCGACATATTTTATATATATCTAAATTTGAAATTACGAAATTTTGAGTCTTTCCATTCAAGAATTTTATATTACTCAAATGTACAATCTCAAATTTGCTATTTATTTTAAGTAAGAAGTTCTATTAATTAATTTTTAATTTAAATTTTTTTAAAATCTTTAATATTGTTCTGCCCAAATATTTTGAGGTTTTTTCTTTTGTCAAACTTATATTTATTTCTATCTTATTAATCTATTTTCTAAGTATAACACACTTCTAACATAATGAAAATATTTATCACAAACGGTTAGATAAATTTCTAAAGGATTAAAAATTAAAAAAAGAAAAGAAAAATAAATTAAATAATGGTAAAACTTTTCATATGATTTGCAAAAAAATATGACAAACACTAATATTATAGTTAATAGTAAAAGAATAAATCAAACATCATAAAGAAATTATATATGGTTGAAACAAGAAAAGTATTCAAAAAACTTATATTTTTTTACAGCGTCTCCTCGGTGACTTCTTAAAATCTATCATAGCAAATAGAAAAATTTTTAAAAAAATAATTATTCTAAAAAATAAAAAAATATATTTAGTCCACAGAGTGACAATTGTGAATTATTATCTAAAATATTTCCCGACCATAGATGCTATCATATTCACACCTTAAAAACAAAAAATATAATTAATAATTTTTTTATATATTTTAAACCAAATTTCATAGCTTTTCATTATTTTCATTGAATATATCCAAAAAAAAAAAAATGCTTTCAAACTGGAACATCAAATCATCGCAAAAATCTTTTTTGTTGAAAACTTGAAACCATGCCACTAGTCAAAATTTCTATCACGATAATCTAAGACCCTAACTAATGCCTCACAATCCTCTTCGGGTGTCTTTGATCTCTTGAATTTGGATTATGCTCTACCCACCTAGAATTAGGAGTGTGAGTCGAGTCGAGTCGATGTAGTGAAAAGTTTAAATTCGAGCTCAACTTTCAATTCGAATTTGATCGAATTTCATTTTTATAGTTCGAGTTCGATTCGTAATCGAATTTCAGTTACTTAAACTCGTTCGATTAAACTCGAAAATATGTAAAAATAAACTCGATTTTTATACTCAACAAAAGCTCGATTATTTATGCTCAAATTCGAGCTCGAATTGATATATTTTATTAATTAAAATAATAAAAAAAATTTAAATATAAAAGCTCGATTAGACCACAGTTACTCGAGCTGAGTATAAAAATACTCGAACTCGACTCGATCGATAAATCAAGCTACTCGAGCTTGAACTCAACTCAATAATAATCGAACCAAATTCGAATTTTATTTGAATCAAACCGGAATAATTTACGAGTATTAATGTATCATTTACATCCGTACCTGAAATCAAGTAACTAATCCTAAATTTTATAACTTAAATAAGAAAATTAGTCCAAAATTTCTCATAATACAATCAAGCTAACTTCGTAAAAATTATAAAAGAAAAAAAATTATCTAACCAAGCATAACAGTTGTATAAATGCTCTTAAAGTCAAGGTCTAGGTTTATTCTGTTAAGGTGCTCATTATACCATTAAACAAATTCTCCAATCAAATATACTCATATTAGATCTTATACAAAAAATTTACATCAAAAAATTTTTAAGCAACAACCATTATGATTTCATTATCATAAGACTTCATAGAAGCTGAAAAAATTTATGGAATTATTAAGCTTATTCCTCTAAATAACAAAAAAAATTTAGAAAAAAATCTCAAAATGAGAAAAAAAAAAAAACAAATAAGATATAACTTACCAATCAAAACTCAATCTTCTTTAATCCTCCTTTTCTTTTTTTTCTTTTTTCATTTCTTTTGGTCCCATTTGATAAGTCTTTCCTCTGAGTTTTTGGACAATGAAAAGTTGATTTTGGATGGAATGAACTTGCAAATCGAGCGTTTGAAGGCGAGGAACTTGAGGGAACGGTAAAGAAAATCACGATAAGAGAAAATGAGGAGGAATTCTTAACTTAAGCTCTAATGATGCCTAAGATGACGATGGATGGCACTTATTCTTGAAAAGACAAGTGATCTTTGTTGGAGAATTTGCAATGTTGGAGTATAGATTTTAGGGTGGAGAAGAATTGGAGTTTAAGAAGGTGGCTGAAAGAAGCCATTGACTTCAAGTAAAAATTGAAAAGAGATGGAAAGTAATTTGAAAAAGACAGAAAAAGACGGGATTATGGTGGCGGCTGGAATGATGCATTGTGACAGTTGTAGACAAATTATTTCAAAATTACATATGTAATTTTTTAAAGATGTTGGTTACCTGCGCTATTATCGTAAAATAAATATATATTTTTTATTTATTGCTATAGATATTTGCATAATCTGATTAATCAAGTGCAAAAATCAAATGAGAAGTACTTTGTCCTGCTTAATAATTTCACATAAATTTTGTTTACCCAACCACCATGTAAGAATGAATAAAAATATTTTGATATTTTTGTCCACAACGTATAATATGTTGATTGATTTTTTAAAATTTTAATAATAGGATTCAAATCTAACAGTTTTAAGTAAAAAATAAATAAATGCAAATGATTTCTCCTAACCTATTACATGAAATAAATCACCCAACAAAAAACTTCTTAGGTCGTAAGTTGTAATATAGATGGAACAAATTTAGACCAAAAAAATATTGATGAAATAAATCCCAGTAAAGACCTGCAAAATAGTGCAAACAGAACAACGTTCTGCCACGTGTACGGTAATGAATCCGAAAACCCCACGTGTACAAAGTTGTAAAACATGGTCATCAGGGGAAAATAAAAAAGAAAACTAAAAAAACACAGGGAAATACAACTTGGGTCTTGGCCTACTCGGCCTTCGGGTGTGTGTTGGTGTCGAACTGCATTTTCAAAGTGGATCACAGCTGGCATATGCCTTTTGTTTTTGTTTTTTTTTTTTTATTTTAACAGCCTCCGAAGACTTCCAAACAAGAGAACAACTTGATATTTTTCTCTCTAGAAGATCAGAACTCCCTCCACCGCATAAATTTTTATGAATTTTCTAGGAAAAAGAAAATATGAATACTCGTCAAATTGTGATTAATCATATAGGAAATTGCTTGTTCATTTCCTATTTTGCTTCTCTCTTATAAAAGTAGCCAATGATAACAACTCAGTTTCTTAATATTTTTGCATGTTCCATTTTTTTATCCATTGCATAGGGAAAGTTTTTTCTTTCCTGAACTGTTATTAGGAGCTAGGGAATTTTTCTTGCAACTCAAAAGGGTTTGTTTCTTTCCCATTTTAATTGCATTATCATATGCTTTTGTATACGGATTTCTTAAGCAAGAACATGAGGTACTTGATTCCTAAGATTTGTTGCAAAATTGCATTTTCGAGCTTGATTGTTTGAATTTTTTTTTCAAAGTAATATACTTTTATCTATGTACCTTTCTAGAACTGAACAAAGCTCAGCTCTGAATGCTTGAACAAAACAAAAATTCTCTGCATATTTCACGTTCTGTTCTTTTGATTTGCTTCTGTTTGATTTAGTCTTAATTCATTTTAGCTTGTTCGTAGAGAAGATATTTCAGTTTCTCACTGATTACCTCTTTAATTTGTTCACAGAATCTGACATCTGAAACCAGCAACAACCATCACAAAAGCACCAAGAAAAGCAGCAGCAGAGAAAAGAAAGAAAAAATGCTGCTAAGAAGCTCTTCAACTCCAGTTCTTGGATCACTCCTAGCAGAAATTCCTAACAACAACAATCACTATGAAACCAGCACCCCCCTCAGGCATTATCCATCTAACTCCTTTCACCACAACCACAACAGACTCTCATTTCATCCCTCTCCAGGCTCTGTCCACATATCTACTACAGTTTCTTGGGGCTCCTCTCCTATATCTCCCTCTTTTGTTGATCAATTCTCTGATTTTGAACGTAGAGACTTTCACAGGGCTCATTCTGAAGGAAACTTGGAAGGACTCATCCATGCTACTTGCGATATCAATGAAAAGTTCTATAATCAGAACCAACCCAAGAAGCTTTCTGCAAGACACAAGTGCTTAATGTTGCAAACCATCCCTTCCTTTTCCCTTTATAATTTGAGGGCGAGGTGTGAAGAAGAAGAAGAAGAAGACGAGAGTCATATAGAAGAGAAGGAAGAGGAGTTGAAAGAAAATGAAGAACTATTGGAAAGTAGTGTAATGGCTATGAATGGTAGCCATAACGTGTTGTTGAATGAAGATGCAAAAATTGGTGATAAATTTAGGAATGTTGGTTTTGAAGATGAAAGAGGGTTGGTCGGCCAAGAAATATTTCTTTCTAGAGGGCTTGGCACAGATGGTGGTAGCAGGGGTGGTGTTAGGGGTGGCGGCGGAGGGGGTGGGGGTGGTGGAAGTGAATTTAATCCAGCAGGCTCTAGTGGAGATGGTGGTGACAACCACGAAGTTGAGAAGTACTACAAGAGGATGGTGGAGGAAAATCCTGGCAACTCCTTGTTTTTGGGGAACTATGCTCAATTTTTGTATCAGGCAAGTGCTTATTGCTTGACGATTTTAATACTGTTATTCAGCCTTTTCTTGTTCTTTCCTTTTGAGAAGGTAATTACTAAGCATAGTCACACTGTTTTGACAGTCAAAGAGAGACCTTGTCGAAGCAGAAGAGTTTTACTTTCGAGCCATTCTAGCAGATCCTAAAGACGGTAAAACTCTGTCACAATATGCTAAGTTAGTGTGGGAGCTACATCATGATGAAGAAAGAGCTTCAAGCTACTTTGAACGAGCAGTTCAAGCGTCTCCTCGAGATAGGTACGTGCTTATCTCCGCACACTTTTCCATATCTGATTCCATTGCTGTTTCTTTTTATACTGTATGCTCAAAACTTGATTTACCTGACTTGGTTTTTTTTTTTTTAACAGCCATGTTCATGCAGTTTATGCTAGTTTCCTCTGGGAAACAGAGGAGGATGCAAATGAATGTGCAGCGCATAGCGGTATTGATTCCAAGCCCACACAATTTCATTAAGGAACATTGACAAGTGCTTAAGCAACTACTCGGAGACATTGTTGCAGTGCACAATGAAGGAACATTCCAATGAAATTATACATGTATTAGATAAATGAAAGTGCCCTTTTTTCCCCTTAATGGAATCTTGTTAATAGTGCAAACCAGAACTTGTATACCACCACTTCATAAGAAACACATGAAGCTCATTCCTGTTATGACGGTTTATGCTAGTGTTAAATGAACAGCCAAGACCAAAGAAAATAGGAGGATTTCAATTCAATTGATTCATCTCAAAATCACAAAATCAACCACCATCACATTGCCTCATTACTCACAAACCAGCTCAAAAACATCAAAAGTTCTCCACTTGAACTGCATAATAAAAAGCATCCAAGGGGAGAAACATATTCCTACCAAAGGAAATAACAATAAAAATGTTCCTCAACACCCCATTTATGTGGAATAACACACTTGAAAAAGTACAAGCATATTTTTTGAAGTCAATGATGGGAAACGTTCAATCAGAACTGTAAATCCTCAATCACCCCAAGATTCAAGAAAACTGCAGTGTGCAAACAGTTGAAAAGTGCAGCCAAATTGTAATCAGTTTCCCGAGATACTATCTCACCGAGAACCTCGCTGATAGAAACCATTGCCAATTGATCTGTAGTCGCCAGATTCGTGGTTGTTTCCCCTACCCAAACTCCGAGAACCAAAGCGACCTCTTGAGGCCTCAGGTTGATAACTACCTCTGCCTCTTCCCCTTCCTGATCAATTTGAATGGCAGAATCATATCATATCAATAAAGTAAAACTCCAGCAAATTCATTTCAATAAAGAGAAAGTTGACTACCATGACATGCCATTTTAAATTGAACAGTAACTTATCAATGCAATTTGAGTGCTATTATACACAAAAAAGAGTTCAATTAAATGAAAATTACGTGGTTTACAAATGCTGGAAGATTTTTTTTTCCCTTACTTTAGGCCGAAGCAAAAAGAATGTAATGTGTCCTCATAAATTACAGATGCTATTTAATCAATACTTAATGTTCATCAAGATTGTCAAATTTTTTCCATAAAGCTGCCCAAATTAATGACCTGAACTAATCTGTCCAAACAAAGATAGATCTAAATCCAAGTGTCATAGTTATGAGCCTATATTGGAAGTTGTTTACTGGTAAATTATGCTCAGAGATTCACCAAGAGGATTATCTTAGAAATGCAGAACTCTAGTGAAGCAACATATAAACTGAAGCACAATAATTTAGTGACTCAAAGAAGTATGTAAAGAGTGCCTTTTTTAAAAAAATGAAAAGAATGCTTTTGCAGGTGTTGCGGATGTTCTGAAGGTAACCAAAAGCAGCAATTGTGAAAGCATTTTACTGAAAATATAGAAGAAAATTCTGGCATGCTTAAAAACAGGAGTGTATATTAAGGCACATACTTCCTCCTCGTGTACTGCCGCTATTTGGTCTGCGCTCCTCTATGTAGACTTGCCTTCCTGCCAATTGTACAGGAGATGCCTACAGAAGGAACAAAACATAGTCAGTATTAATGTCAAAAATATGTACAGAAGCCAAAAGAAAAACTATAGAAAGGTTCAGGATGACAGTAAATATACAAATTAGTTATAAAAGTAAATTTATGTCATCCTCCAAGACTCTACCTGGAGCTTCTATTGTGTGTGTGTGTAAAGAGTTCTTCATGCAATGAAAAACTATAAACCTTTGACCGTTGATGGTGCCATAAGTCAATTTTGGTTTAAGAAAAACCAATGGAGAGCAGGTTTATTTCCTTCACCCGCCTCTCCCAAAATCCTCTCCTCATTTTTTTTCCTGTATTTCACTCAAGAAGCTCTTTCATGGCTGTGCTAGTCCTCTTCTCATCCATCATGAGCAACAAAAACAAAGCGTCCTAAAGGTATACGGATGTAGATTAAATTTGATCCAACAATATAAACAACTATCAATGATAAAACTAGAATGTAATCACAATGGTGCAACATTAAAGAGAGTTGAAAGCTCTTTTTATAGTAAATTCAAAGCTACAGGCAAACACATCAAGCCAAACAGGTAGCTACAATAAATAATTCAACAAGGAGTTACTGGCAAGGAAAGTGAGATAGTGCTCAGCTTTTCAAATTCTCAAAGAAATACTGAAAGTTAAATAAACTAGATTCAATACTAAGCTAATAGCTACCATCCAACATGTTTGTTTGAGAGAAAGAGCACAAACAACAATGAAAATTCATACCTTGATTGCATTTTGAACCGCAAAAATGTCTTCAAACTCAACAAAAGCATAGCAAACACCCACAACATCCTGCATGCATCTAACACTAATTTAGTTTCTTCAACGTTATATACCAAAGATAATCAAGAAGAGAAGCAAAAGAAATCACCTTGCGGTTCCGGATAAACACACCATCAGGCTTGATTCTGCCAAAATTCTTGAACTCCTGCTCAATTTCAGTTGCAGTAATAGTAGAGGGCAAGTTTCTCACATAGACAGATTTGTATTCACTGGTATATTCACCTGAAAGGATGAAGATCAATAATCAGGGTGCAACTAACAAGTACTATAAGCATTTATATTAACTGCAACTGGTAAATCTAATTTCAAATCTAAGCATACAGGAAGGTGTTTCTGAAATGGAATGATAAAACATGCAGCTTCTGAAGCTTTAACTCCTTAACTGTAGAAACAAAATTCTCATGCTCAGTGGCTCAGATTAAATATTCAGATGGCCCCTTTAAGAAATATCCTTTCCCAGAAAGCAATGCAAAGACTAGAGAAGAGCAATTGATAAAAGCCAAAGCACAATAACGGATCGACAACTATAGCATTGTAAGTCCTAATATCAAACAACACATACCGAAGTAGATACATTAGGCTAACCTTCCTCAAAGACCAAGCCTTCCTCCACTGCTGTCTCTGCTGCACATTCAGGCACATCTGACCAAGCAGGGCGTGACTGCTGACTAGTAGGCTCTGGTGTGTGATCCCAATCTGAAGTACTCTGGGGAATCTTATTATAAGATGCTTGAACTTGAATGGATGAAGCAGATTGCTCCTTCGGAACACGCAACTACACCGGTTGTAACAACAAATAATGCTATTCAACCAATCAGAAATATTTAAATTTCAATAAATTAAACCCCCAAAATATCTGTGTGTGGATATTAGATAGAAACAGAGTTTGCTTGGAAAAAGGCCTCTCAGACTTGACTCCCATTTGATAGCTCATGGCAAGTACCCATAATTTCTTGCTCTTATTCACATGCATGGCTCTGTTTGCTTAATATATTAATCTTTAATATTTGCATAGTCTACTCTTTACGTGCATGGACTTGTTTCAGTAATTTAAGCTGGATGTTATGTATGCCACATGCTTGGATAAAGCAAATACGGACTAGTTTACATAGAATGATTGCTGATTCAACATGCAAAGAATAGGCAATGAGTGAGAAACCTTCAATAGGTGAGAGTCACAAACACACATGCTTATATGCAAACAGAAGGCTTGCATAAAAAGCAACAGGGGAGTACTTACAATAGAGGCATATGTTCTCTTTGGAGGCTTCCCAACAGGTTCCTCCAAAGCCATAGCTGTGGGCTCTTGCACAGCGTTCACCACACTGTGATATGAAGCAAGAGTTTCATCTGCAGGAGCTTCCTCCACCACAACTTCAGCTTCAACATCTTCTTGTTGTGGTTGCTCTGGGAGACTATACTTGTCAACTGGATCATCTTCTATATGAACAGAGTTGACATACTCCCTGGCCTCTTCCTCCAAAACATAGTCAGAAACTGCTAAATCCAACATGTTAGACCAAAAATAAAACAAAGCAAAATTTCTACCATCAGAAGATAGTAAATAACAAATACCAGTGGATAGAAAGATTATTTCCTAGAGGTAAAAGAAAAGAGTGACTTTTAAGTAAAAACTTAAAATGTGGAAATTTACAAACCCAAAAAGAGAAAATACAAGTACGTGTATAAGGTTTTAAAGTAAAACTATAAGCAAGCAATTTAAGCTCAAAAACAGACCCAAAGATCAAATTACCCTTCAAACCATGTATAATATCCAATTTACCAAAAAAAATAGATATTTAACTGATTCTACCATCCCTGCTAGAGCCACTTAAGCACTTAGAAGACACCAAATCGTCAACCATAGTACATGGCCAGGAAAAGGTCTTTCTTTAAGTTAAGGAGACACAATTGAAGGCTCCAATTCTAGATGTCAACACTTTGCATGTGGATAAAGAGTCCACAAAATGCTATAGCTTGAAATAAAGTTTTTTTCAGATTAAAGTTAGCAATAAGCTTGGCCACAGTACCTGGTGGCTCTGCAGCAGGGCTTAACACATTTTGTTGAGCATCAAGCTTGTTTTCTTGTAACGTGGACGCTGGATGTTGATAAGTCATTCCATCGTCAATAAACTGAAAGATATCATTGAGAACAAAGTAACCCTTCTCTTGAGGGGCAAGAAAAAAGGTTTGCACAAATTTCCTTCTGCCATTGAAATCCTTCATTTTAACAGAACCAGAAACCATCACCAGAACACCTCCATTCCAAGAATCCAGAGAATTAATCGTCTTGACCTCAATTGCAGTAAAATTTAGTGACATCACCAAGGCATGAATTTGCTGCAGAGAAATATCAAAAGAGGAACCCAATAAATTACAAATTTACCAAGAATGCAGTAAAATAAAAGGATAAAGATAAGTTTATTCCAGTGAAAGGAATTATAAGAGAGAGAGAGGGAGACCTCTATTTCTAATAATTACTAAATGCAGACACAAATTTGCAAGAGAAATTGCAACAAGCCAATGATTTGCAAACAATGAACAAAAGGCTTTTGGTTGTAGCATCTAAAAAGTAGATGATCTAGAGAATCCATGTCTTACAGTGATAACTTCCCCTAGCCAAAAAAAAAGGCCTTTTTGGAGAATAAGTTTCATCCTATATCTCCCCAACTTAGCTTATACTTGCCCAAGTCAGATATATTGCTTTGAAATTACGTGGTAACTGTTATAAAGGCATGCACTTGAAGGTACAAACAACTAAGAACATTAAAAATAATAGAATACAAATATGCCATTTATCGGATGCAAGATGGAAAAATACAAAATCAATCACAATTTAGAAAATTGAAAACGAATACTGTATTTGCAATATTTTCATGCTTAAGCAAACTAAAAAAAAGTTTACTTCCAAAATATATAAAGAAAGAAATAAAAGTATAGATGTTACCAGCATTGCAGAAGCAGATTCGGAGGAATCTCCGTCGACCCGAATCATGGTACTGGCATCTGAGTAAAACTGATGAACTAGATCAGGTTGCTGCCGAAGCACCTGATAGTATTGTCCCACGAAGTATGAACCAACCTGAAGTTTAAAAATAAAATTGATTGAAAAAACAAGAAATCTAAAACCCCATATAAATATACAATCAAAAGAAAGAAAGAAAAAAAAAAAAAAAACCTGAACGGGTCCTGGGTAGGAAGCAGCCATTGTGATAAGCTAGATGAAATCAAAACAAAAACATGCGACGAAGAAGATCTAATCTAACTCCCCAACAAAAAAACAAGTTAAAAATTATAGCTCTTGAAACAGTGACCGACCCACAGATCCAAATAGTTTGACTTAAGTATCTGAAACACTCGTTTTTTGAAAGCCTAGGGTTTAACTTTAAATGCCAGAGGAAAAAGCCATTGACAATGGTTTTCTTTTTTTTCTAACAAAGACAAAGCCGAATGAAGTTACACGCTATAGTTGGAGATAATTGATTGATGAAGAAGATGATAAAAGAAGAAAATATAAAACGAGATTTTAGGTTGAAACTGAGTCAAACAAAATCTTTTTGAAGAATCTGAGGGATAACAGAAAAAGAGCTTAATTTTATTTGTTTAACTCCAAACATAGGATTTGCGGATGCGCCATGTCGTTCATCTGCTTCGTTAATTATAATTCATATCATAACTTTTTGTGGGGATTACCGCAGAAAATCACAGATGTCCCTTTCGGTGAGGAGGGCTTTTAATCTAACGGCTCTTTGTCTGGGTCGAATATTGCAATCAAAATTTAATTAAATTATTCCGAGCGGTTCACAGTAACCTTAAAAACAAGATTATCATATCATAGCTAACTTTTACCATGTAGTTACTATTTATTATTTTCTCTATTCCAATTAAATTATTTATTACATTTTATTTTTTATCAAAAGTTTTCAATTTTCAATTTTATATTTATTATTGATAAATATATTTATATATTTTTAAGTTGGCGAATCATTATGAGATTAGATTACCTCATTTTTCAACTCAAACCAAGTATACAAAATAAAATATTTTTTCCTTCTCAAAATATTTATTATATATTAATTTTCATGAGTTTAAAAAATTTTAATTTTAATATATTTAATATTAAAATTTAAATATTTTTATAAAATTAAATTTTGATGATTTTTAATGTTAAAAAATAAAAAAAATTCAAATATAATTTTAAAATATAAATAAGTAAGAATTTTAAATATTAAAAAAAACATAATTTTAAAATATTCAAAAAAATGAAAAAAATGAGACAAAAGGAATAGTTTCTAAAATCCATGTCAAAGTAATTTAAATTATTTTTTAAATTTCATAATTTAAAATATTATAGAAAAACAATACGAAAATATACAAAGAAAACAATGATTTGAAATTTTAACAAAAATTAAATGTGTGTGACAAAACAAAAAAAAAAATTTTAAGTATTTTGTATTCTCGTATGAATTCAAATTATATTAAATAATTTTTATATAAAATATAATATATATATATACACTAATTATCAATATTTTATACAAAACAATCTCACAAATTACCAAGTTTAATTCTTTGCATGTTTTCTTTAAGCTTTATATTTTGCTGGATTTGGACCATCCATCATCCTCATCTGCATATGCTCTGCTTCATCAGCTCTTCCTACTGCCTGCCTATTGCCTAACTTCACTTGGCTACAACTTATGTGTAGAGCTACGAGGAAGCTAACCAAGCAGCAGACGCCTCGAATTATTTTGAATTTTCTCCTCCTTCGCTGATCATTTGATCCCCAAAATTGCATTTCCACATGGCCATAAAGTGACAGTGAAATCACCAAAAGAATGTTAAAACCTAAATGGAGTAACCAAATATTCCCCTCCATCGATTAGATGCCAAAGATCAGAGGCGAATCCAAGCATTAGTATACGGTGTTCATAGACATTTCCAAAGATGGTAAAATAAAAAAAAAAATTTAAAGAAAAAATTTTTCTAAATAAAACTTCTTTCTCTAAACACATTTTCTATCGACAGAATTTAATAAATTCGACGACAGTTTTTCAAAGCGCAACACACAATAGAATTACCAATGCTTTAGACAACTAGCCGACAGATTCGTAACCAAGAAACGAAAATCAAAGATTTTGAAAAACATCGACTGTTTTTTTATCCATTGATAGTTTCCAATTAAATAATACGATGTATTTTAAATTAAATAAAATGCTAAGTTTTACAGTTTAAATAAAAAATTAATTCAATTATTATATATTATAAATGGACACCTCAAAAACAATTCTAGATCCGGCACTGGCCACTGCCAAAGATAGGAAATATAAAGACATGAAGCAGTGGTGCAATACCAGCTTATTTGGCGGATGGATTTTAGCTTATTAAACAGCAAAAGAGTACTGGTGCTCTGCATATATTCTGTGTCCTGATCCAGATCTCTAAAGAGCGAAGCTCGAACAGAGTGGTTCTAGTGCAAGAGTGTTCTCAGAAAATCTTACATTACCCTCTTCCCCACATCCCAACCTTTCAACAAAACTTGGATAAAGGGATCACAGACATTATGTTCAATACAGAGAACATTCGACTCATCCTTGCCTACCACACCTAGCTTTCCCATCTAACAGATTCAACCACCAATGCAACTAAAATCCCTGAAGAACTTAATATCTCCCAGTTTTCTTTATGATATATCATGAAGATGGGCCTTCAAAATGAAAGTAAAAAGAACTGAAGTTAAAATCTTAACTACCTTGGTGGGACTAACTCTCATATCCCAGGAGTTCATGGTTCTTGAAATTCTAGATCTAGTTGAAGCAAATCAAGGAATTGGTGAGCTTACAACAATTCTTAACCCTACTGCAAATCCCAAGTCCCAACTATTTTTCACCAATGATAATGGTAAACAGTAAACACCGTAATGAAATTAATAGAAAGGGCGACTACTGAAATATAAGATTTCCTATATAGAAGCACGAACTCTTCAATTATCTACGTATACCATACCATCCATTTACGCTCAAATGCTGCAATGTAATCCAAAAATACTGATTCACGGCAAAGCATTCAAGTGCATTTCACTTAAAATGAACACTCTCAATTTTCAAGCACTTTATCACAACAAGAAATTGAAACTTTAAACACCAAAAAAGCAAAATCTTCAAATTTTTTTTAAACCCTAAAACTACATCGAAAAGGTTTTACTACAATAACCACGGAGGCAAATGGACTAAAACAGGCAAGAACATTGCTAAACAAAAAAAAAGCACTGATATGACCCGATACGATTATTTAAGGGCGGATGCAGTGGGCGGAGCACCTAGGAGACTAGCTTGCTGTAGCTCAAGCTCGTTGAACTGCTGCTCGCGGTCCATCTCGATGATCAAAGGGACAACTAAGATCAAGAAAGTTGTTCCGGCGATCCAAGCAGCTTTGCCAGTGCTACGGAGGAGCTTCTTGGAGACGAAAGTGGCGTCCCACGCGGCTTGCTTACCACGGGAAACGATCGGAGAAGAAGAGATCCTGGCGAGGATGCTTGAGTCGAGCTTGGAGGCGGATCGCCTCTCGGGTAGGGAAACTCCGCCTCGCCTGGTCTGGGCGGCCATGGTTAATGTGGAGAAGGAAGAGGGTTTTTGTTACAGGGTTTTCAATTTTCAGGTGAAGACTGAGTGAATTAACAGGGAAAATTGACTCTCTGATGCCACTTTTATAGGTCCCAGAAACTACGGAATTAGGTCCAAAGAAACAACCGAACAACGTTTTTTTATTTATCTACATAAATAAAATGTTAGTCAATTGTTCATTATGAGTACCATTTTATTTATTTTTTTGTTTATTATTTTAAAATAATATCTTAAATAAAAATATTTTAAATATTATCAACAAATCTATTAATAATATTATGTTTTTAATTTTAAATATAAAAACAAAATAACATCTTTCTTTTGTTAAATAACCAGCTTCGTTTCCAACGAGAAGTATCAATTCAAACTTTGGGGCTGGTCCAGCACAATAATATATAGGAAATACATATAATAATGGTTTAATCATAGTAGAAGGCATGAGTTTGAGACTTGTTTTGTGGATCGGACCCAACAAGATTAAGAGCTGACTTAATCTTTTCGTTTTTTTTATTTCTTTTATTTTCAATTTAGGTTGCCCAATTTTATTTACTTAATCTAATATATATATATATATATATATATATATTATAATAATATACATAAACAAATTTGTCATATGGGCATTTATGTGAATAACTCTCTTAAATGATAAATAGGATAACTTTTTTAAAAAATAAAATAATTTATTTTAATTACAAATTTGATAATTTTAAATTTATTCAAATATCAAAATTATTTAAATTATAATTTAAAATCAAATCAATTTAAAGATATATTTTTAAAAATTAAAAATATAAAATATGAATTTTATTTTTTTAATAAATATTCTTAGTTGTTTATCAAATAACCTTCTTTAAAAAATTATTTAATTATAAAAAATTTTCAAATATGTTTAAAAATTATAAATATTAAATTTATCCAAATCCTTTAACAATCTTTTTTGATATCTGAAATCCTTTAAAAATCTTTTTTTATCTTGATTTAAAAAATTTTAGGTAAGACATTAAAAATTCAAGTAACTTTATGTAAAATTTTGAAAATTCAAAAAATTTTCATCCTGAATTTTTAAATAATAAGATCATCAAAACAATTATATCCATTTGAACTTTAATTATCAATTTTATATTTCAAATAAATGTAAAAATTTTAATATTATCTTTATCACTTATTGTATCTATTTTAATTTTAAAAAATTAATTTAAAAATTATTTATTTAATCCTAATTGCCACTAAATAATTCTTTTATAAATTTAAGACTACAAATATAATGTGTTATACATCAATTTTTTTTCAATAATTTTCTTAAGGTATATTCTACTACTATTGCAATTTATTTTTTTTTAACTTTTTTCTAATATTATTTTATTGTTATTACAGTTTAATTCTTTTGAAAATAATATATATTTTTATTTTTTTCACATGTTTTCTAACATTGTTCATATTTTACATAATAATTTAGTCAAAATTATTAAAATGAAAGTATATTAATACTTATTTTATTATTTAATTTATCATTCAATAATATATATTTTTATTTTTTAAAGAAAGGTATAATTTATTTTTATTTGATATAATATTATAGGTGTATAAATATTATTGTAAACAAAAATATCCAAATGAAAGACAAAATTTTTTTGCTATTTTCAAAAAATTATTTTTTAATGATAAGTCAATATATATAAATTTTATATATGCTAAGTTTTAAATATTTATATATAATTTAAAAATAAACTAATTTAAATATATTCATATTAAATAAATAAAATTATTTCGTGCATCACATAAGTTATCATTTAGTTAAGAGAATATTACATGTTTAAATTTTTTTAAATTCACAATTTTCAAAATTTTATTCAACATAAATGTCATTAGAACTAATGATAAATTGACATATTTTCATGATCGTTAAATGTAACAAGGTTTTATAATAAGGTTAGCTAAGTTTTTTTTTTTTTCTTCAATCTATATTAATTAAATTTCTTATTTACAAATAAGAGTACTTTCAAACTTTTTTTTTTTAAGGTATTTCAAACCAGAGGTTTTTTTTTTTGACAAAATATTTTAAAATTTTATTATCAAATAGTGGTATTTTTAAATTTATTTTCCTAAACAGAATATTACAAGCCACATCAATGCTATGTTCGTCTTGCAATGTATAAAAAAAATAAAAATCAAATTAAAATGATTTCAAAGTTATTTATTTTTACGATAAAATGTAATTCAAACCAATATTAATGAGTTTATATATATATATAAATATATAATATATATTATATATATTGAAATTCTTGCTAAACATCTTTTTGTTTTCAACGTTGATCACTTCTAAGTATAATAACATTTTGTGATAGGTGCCGTATTTCGAATTTAATTCTGACCAAAAAATATATATATGTAACCTTATAACTTTTTTTTATACAATATAACCTTAAACTTAACTAGTCTCTCTTTCAATATTTTTATTTATTTTAATATTTTTTTATATATAGTTATTCGTATAATACATTTTTTACACACAAAATATAAATAATATATTAATACTTGCAAGTTATTCGAATTCAACTCAAATAAATTTTAACTTCAATTTAATCATTATCAAATAGATTTTGAATTCAAGGAAATTAACTTATTGAATAAGTTAAGTTCGAGCATTTTAATATTTAACTCGAGTAACTCACAAATTTAATCAATTTTTATATTTTAATAAATATTTTTATTATTTTAATTAAAAATTATTATTTTATTTTTATATATAAATTCGAGCTTAAAGCTTAAATTTAAATACAAATAATTGAATTTTTTTATTTAATAAAATATCATAATTAAATAAACTCAAATAACTCGATATTTATCTCAAATTAAATTTAATATTTTTGTTGTATTAACTTAGCTCGATTACAACTTTACATGAATACATATATAAAATACTTAATAACTTGTTAGATTAATATGTTTACATGTTCAATATATCATATTTTTAAAGGCGAGCATTAGTTGATTTTAATTGAATAAATTTATGAAAAATCAAAATTTAATTAAATTAGGTTTGATTTTTTTAGGTTTGGTAGTTTTGTCAGTTTAAAGGTCGATTTGGGTCAATTGGTTTGCAGTTTTACACACCAAATACCGAACTTACCTAAGAAAACCAAAAATCAACCCTTACAAAATCAAAATACCTAGTTACTCCTACTTATTTATGTTATGAAACCCAACTTTTTTTTTTTTTTCTTTATGGCTTTCTCTTTCTTGCGCATGGTTCTCAACTCTTTGCCCATCTCTGGCTCTCAACCATTTTTTCTTGCCCTTTAACCCTCTCAGCCTTTTCTCAACTCTCATGCCTCTAGCATTTCAACCTTCACGTCTCATAGCCCCCTTTACCCTCACGCCTCTTAGCCCCATTCCAACTATCAATTCTCACACCTCTCGTTATTTGCTCGACTCTCGATTTGGTATATCTATTTTGACAATAATATTTAGTTTTTTAATGTTATTTTTTCTAGATTTATAATTCTTGATGTGATTGTTTGATTCTGAGTTTATGATTGAGTGTAATTTATAGATTTATCCATTGCTGTTAAAAAAAATTTACATATTTTCCTCATCATTATATTTTTTTGAATTTTGTTTTACTATTGTATTTTTGAACGTGGGTAAATCTCCAACAATTGTCTTAGTTTTTTGTGTTCCACCATAGCTAGCTCTAAAATATATGCATCTTCATGTTTGTGAACTTTTTATTTTAGTTCTTTTTTTTTTTTGTAATTTCATTTAAAAAACTATAAAAACCGAAGAAATCAACCAAGTTAAGCCAGTTTGATTAATTTTGGTTTTCATCCCAATAATCAATCTATTTGATTTTTCAAGAGATTAAATCCGTTTAATTGATTTTTGAAAATTTTGCAACTAAATCGACTAAATGCAAAGCCCTAAATATTTTCAAGTCAACTCATCTTATTTTATTCATTTTCAAAACTTGTATTTATCTAAATTTATATAAAAAAGTTATACTTTTAATTTATGATATTTATCTAAATCAAGTTACATTTAAGATAAATTATTTCATTTGGTATTAATGAATTTTCTAGATTTTATAATCACAAGTGAGATTAGTTGAATGAGACATATATTTAAAAAAATAAATTAAAAACGTGTGTTAATCTCTTAACTTTAATTGTAGAATTAAAAATTTATAGTGTCATTATATTAACTACTAATTTTATATTTAATTTTTTTATTTGAGAAAAATACTTTAACTCAACTTTTTGAGTATGAGATACATGTACCAACTGTCACATTTTAATTTTAATACTTTAATTGAACCAAAAATATTTCACGTTTAAATTTGATATAATTTACATTGTATGAAGTAATTATTAATAAATTTATAATTTATTTTAAAAAATTACAATTTGTAGCAAGGCACTAGACAAACCCAAATATTTCAGGCCTTAATGAAGGAAGGCCCAGTGGCCAACCTTCCTAAGTTCTGGGCAGCTGACAGGCTGGCACTAGCTGTAGCCACCAGCCATGAATCCAGAGGCCCCAAAGCCCTAAAAAAATTCCAACGGCACAGATTAAAACCATTATCCAAAAGTAGGCTCAGATATACCTCCACTCACGCGTAACCCAAACAATAAAAACCGCCGCCCGCAGAAGATTTCAGTTACCAAATGGCACATACCGTATCCGCTTTGTTTGGCTCTCTTTCTTTAGTTCTTCTTGTACTGTCCAAAAACCTTCCAAGTTTTCCAACACAAAAAAACACTCGAAATTGTTAAATTCAGAACTCTCTCAAAACGACGACGTCCTCTCCTTCTTCCCGTACGTTTCCAGCTATTTCTTTTTCGTTATCTGTATCCTGTTCTCCAATCTAGGGTTTTGGTTTTGCCATAAATGTTTAAGGTTGGATTAGGGTTTGTTTCGCAAGTTTTTGAGTTTTTAGATTGAATTGCTTTACTTTGTTCTTATAAACCGTCTTTCCTTTTTACTAGTCATCCTTGTCTATAGAGCAAGTTTTTTTTTTTTTTTTTCCGCTCCAAAATATTGTTAGTTATGAATTAATTTAATTTAATGGAGGATATTGGTTATTTCAGTTTATTTTTCTTTTTTTTTTTTTTCCGTATATTTGTTGTATGTCTGAATAAATGCTATTCTCTATAATTTTTCGAAGAAGTTAAAATTAGGAATTTTGGGAGTAAAAGAGACGTGTTTAGGTAATTTGTTGTCAGTAAATTTTTAAATGGCGTCAGTTTTGTGCCTTCTCTTGGTTGTTAGTTTCAGTTTGTATTCTCTACATTAAAGTTTCTAAGCTGGAACGGGAGATATTGAAGCATTAGTTGCTGACCCATCTGCAATTACGGATTATCTACATTAAAGTTTCTAAGCTGGAACGTGAGATATTGAAGCATTAGTTGCTGACCCATCTGCAATTATGGATTATACATCCGCAGCTTATAATTCTACTGGTTCTAGTGCTTACCCTTCTGAGGATACTGGAGATCCTACTGCTTCTGGTGCACCAGCAGCAGGTAATTATGCTGCATCTGGTGGTGACCGAAATTCTGCTGGTCAAGAGGGTCAAATCAGTGCAATTTATGACAGAAAGCCAATTGGTGGATCGACTGATGAGAATGCTGCTGGTGTTGGAAATACAGCAGTGGATGCATCTAAAGCTACTGGTTATAATTCTTCTTTAAATGGCAATGTTGACAATGAAGCACAAAATGCCGCAACAGTTGAGAATGGAAATGTTTTTTATAATGTGGGTGGATCTTCTGCCTCACCAGAGTTTGTGGATGGTTCTGGTATGTTTTTCTCTTCATGTTTGTTACATGTGTCTGTTATGTACGAGGCACTTTCTCTTGATTTTTGTTTGTGTTGAAGGCTGGCTTATGTAATATTATTTGCAATCCTGCTTGATAATGTAGTTAAGTCTTTTGCAAAACGAGAATATAGAAGAAGAATTGTTGTTAGGGAATAAACTTTATCTGCCTGCATAATTCTAAACTAAATTAAAAACTCTTATCTTCTTTAATCTATGTTCATATCATCTGAAAAATGAAAGTGGGCTTATTAAATGATTTTTATATTGCATTTTTATTTTTCTGCTATTTTATATCTGAAACTAACTACCCTAGAGATATGCCGTAATGGATAAAAGCTCTGATAGTTTAGCCCCAAATGGCCTTTATCCACTGGCATTCTGCCATCAACATGATGTGGATGGTAGTTCTTTGGACCTCGGCACCTAGTTTTGACTATAAGTATCATTTTTCCTTATTCAACATTATGTCTTTCTTTCCTTTTTTATTATTGTTATTTTTAGTATTAGTTTTGACTATAAGTATCATTTTTCCTTATTCAACATTATGTCTTTCCTTTTTAATTATTGTTATTTTTAGTATTTAAATTTAGAAAATATGAAACTCATTTTTGTTTTTTATTTTTACATTTGACTTCTAGTGCCACCTATGTCTGGTGAAGAGGATCGTTTGTGGAGTATTGTGAGAGCTAATTCTTTGAATTTTAATGCTTGGACTACATTGATTGAGGAGACAGAGAAGGTTGCAGAGGTATGTGGGCATGAATATGTGTTGGAAGGGGATAAATAAACAGACTGAGGGCTTTTACCTGTTGGAAATTTTGTTAGCTAGTTGTCTGTTGCCTAGCTAATAACTAATCTTTGCTTTTCCTTCTTTATTTGGCATGGGTAGGTGGAGAGCATGTTTTAAGATAGAATACCACTATGTAGTGGAAGAAGGAGGCTCCATACTTAAAATAAATATAACTTTGGGGAGGGACTGGAGGGCCACCTTAATAACTTTGAGAAAAGTGATGAAAGTCATATAATTATGTTAAAAACTTTCTTTGGTGGGTTGGCGGCAAAGAGTGCCACCTATCGTACATCTGTTTTTTTATTTTTCTACTCTTCTTCCTTTTTGCTTCAAATAATCTCCCCCAAAGTTGGTGGTTTCAGTTCCTCGTTCATGAACTCATTCTCTTTATTTTTCTATATATGTTTGTGCATCTTGTCTGCCAACTGATGTTTTCATCTACACTTTGTATGCAGAACAATATACTGAAAATTCGAAAAGTTTATGATGCTTTCTTGGCTGAATATCCTTTGTGTTATGGTTACTGGAAAAAGTATGCGGATCATGAAGCACACATAGGTTCCATGGACAAAGTTGTGGAGGTTTATGAAAGAGCTGTTCAGGAAGTGACTTATTCTGTGGACATCTGGGTGCTATATTGTGCATTTGCCATAGAAACATATGGAGATCTGGAAACCATCCGAAGGTAATAAGTGTTGGTTGACTGTTGTTGTTCCTGGTCTGCATTAGGAGATCATGGTTGTTTGCTTTTCTTTGTCATGAGGATCTGGTGATTTTTGTTACTTTCTAACAATATTTTGGTATGCCTGCAACAGCAATTCCTTGCATTTATGGCGGAAAGGTTTGATGGGAATGCACTTTAGAAATGCTTTTTTTTATTCCCTTGATTTTGAGGCTACTGTACGTGTAGCAGTTGAAACAATTTTAGGATATTGACTGTGTTCCTGAGCATTTTTCACTTCCTTCTTACCCTCTCCTCTTTGAAGCCTGCTTCATAGTCATGTAGTTATCCATGAATTGTTACTTTAACCTTGACACTTTGAGGTGCGTCAATATGCAAAATGCTGCTGGGAAGATCTCGTCCAGTTAAAGGCTAGATGGCCTCTATCACTGCTTCATTTCGGACATAATTTCATTTTTATCAGGAAGGTAAATGCAGCGTTTGGATGTGTCTAGAGTGAATTGTTCATTCTGCTTCAACATCGGTCCCATTGTCTTCTGTTTTTGGACTTGTCTTCATTGTCTGAATGTTTTTTCATATGTGTAATCATGATTCTGTTGCATTGTGTTTCAGGCTTTTTGAACGAGGATTAGCATATGTTGGAACTGATTATCTATCTTTCCCTCTTTGGGATAAATACATTGAATATGAATACATGCACCAGGAGTGGAGTCGCCTTGCTGTTATTTATACTAGAATATTAGAGAACCCTAATCAACATCTAGATAGGTATTTCAACAGGTAAGCTCTTATTGTGTCTCATCATGTCTAATTGTTTACGTACACTAGGTACTGTATTGCCTCATGTATGTGATTTTTTCTAATGAGATTGGCCAAATGTAAACATAACCTTGCTATCATGGTTCCATTTGGTTATTACCCATTATCATTTCTCTTTGCTTTTTCCTTTTTGCTTTTTACTTTTTACTTCTTGCACTTTGCTATAAAGGAAAAATAAGGAAATAGCTAAAAAGAAACATTAATTCATGCTTTTTGGTTGCATATAGAATTATGATCTATGTTTAATTTTTTACTTTTTATCAATGAATGCTAAATTTGGACTTTAGTCCAATAGAGCATTTTTCGCTTTTGCATATGAAGATAAATTCTTTTTCCTTCCAGAGGTAGCAAAAGTAGATATCAATGGAGTCTAAGGAGAAATATCCTCTATTTACTAATTGAATTTGAAGTAGTAGTGGTTTCTTTTCTTAAGTTGCTTGGTCATTTTGTTTAATCTTACCATCAACTGCTCACAGTTGTTTCAAGGTTACATCATGCCCATCTAAAGTGTGATGTTTTTGTTGTTTAAATGTTAATGTTTGTTGATATTTGTGATTCAAAAGAATGCATATGTAGTCCTTGGTGAGAAATTGCAAGGTTAGAAGTCAGAACTTGGGACTTTAACTTGGACTCAAGTTTGAATCTTGGGAAGGGAAGGAGGATGAGGTTCATGGGATGGGAGAGAGCTACCTCTCGGACAGTTCAAAATGCAATGCATTTTCACATTACCTACTAAAAATAGTGATTCTGTGGATAATAATGTATGTAGTGCATCATATTATTTTGCTTTTTTTTTTGTAACTTGGTTATTTCCTGATTGCAATGGTATTTCAGTTTTAAAGAACTGGCTGGAAGTCGACCTATTTCAGAATTAAGAACTGCTGAGGAAGCTGCTGCCGCATCAGGTGTAGCTTCAGAGGCTGATGGACCAGTTAATGAAGGCGAGGTTCATCCTGATGCTGCAGAAGAAACTCCTAAGCCAGTAAGTTCTGGCTTAGTCGAAGCAGAAGAGTTGGAGAAGTATGTCACTGTTACAGAAGAGTTATATAAGAAAGCTAAAGAGTTCGATTCAAAGATCCTTGGTTTTGAAACAGCTATTAGAAGGCCATACTTTCATGTGCAGCCCCTCAATGTTGCTGAGCTTGAAAATTGGCATAACTACCTGGACTTTCTAGAAAGAGAGGGTGACTTCAATAAGGTATTTGCATTTACTATGCTCATCTTTCAATTTAGCATGGTTTTCAATGTTCAGTTGTCCTGTTTGTTATATATTGACTTACAGTTAAGTAAAATCTGCTGTATCATTTGCATTATTGGCTAAGTTGTTGGGTGAAGCAACTTTTTTAGATGGGAAATGTACGGAGACTAAAGCATGGATCTTCAGTTTGGTTTCTTAGAGGCTATGTACTTCAATCCCTTATTTGTTAGTGGACATTTAGGTTTGTAATGTAATGAATAGTGAATTCATTTTATATTTTTGAAGTTCCAATGTTACGCCTGCAGGTGTGGTCTTGTCTTTCTTACCATTTCTCTGTCAGGCAAGGAGGGTCCCATCATATTTGAGGGGCCTCTCTGTTCCAACGATGGAGTATTTCTTATGCATTTCTCCTTGTCCTTTGTATTATCCCTTGTTTAATGTTTTGGTGAACCAGAGTATGTTTCTGATCTTTTATATTTTCATCTGCGCATTAGGTTGTCAAATTATATGAAAGGTGCCTGATAGCCTGTGCTAATTATCCTGAGTACTGGATTAGATATGTTTTATGCATGGAAGCCAGTGGAAGCATGGATCTTGCTGATAATGCACTTGCGCGTGCTACGCAAGTCTTTGTCAAGGTATGAAGTGACAATTTGGGTTGGTTGAAAAATGCTACTGGGATGAATTTTATCTCCCTTCCATAAGAGGCGTTCGAGTTTCGGTTTCAATACTTGAACCTTTTCAACTTTGGCTTCTGTCATTTAAATATTTTAAATTTAAAATTTTGAAAAAGTTGCTTGGAAGCAAATCTTTCGAAGTTTTTTGGGTTTGTTTTTGTACATTTTAATCAGTAACAACTTTTAAATAAAAAGAAGTCAAAGTTGAAAAATTATGACCTCAAAAAGTTAAACTAAGACTATTAATGGGACAGAGGGAGCAGTATGGAGTAAGTTTCAGTTATAACTTTTAATGTATTGTTATTAACAATAGAAAATCCTTGTACATCTTGTTTAAACTGGTCCAGTTAAAGAAAATTGTAACCTGTTGTCACAAAAAATTATTTGATAGAAAATTGCCCTTCCTCCTCCCCTTGTAAATTCACCTCCTACTTCCATGCCTTGACTGAGTAAATCTAAGAATGAACACATTTTCTTTCCTTTATTTTTTATTTTCTTTTTCCTGGTTTAGGGAAACTATTTTGGCTTGTGAGTTAGTTTTTACTATTATGCATAGCCAATCTGATATTTACTTTATTATAATTGTTTGATCTTTTAGTATTGACGTCCAAAAGAAGTATAATTGATGGGTGTTCTTATGGAGACTTATGACAGCATGCTAGTTTCAACAATTTTCATTGTGTTATATTTTACTAGTATTTTCTTTGTTACCAATATTTGACAGAGGCAACCTGAGATCCATCTTTTTGCTGCTCGATTCAAGGAGCAGAATGGGGACATACCAGGTGCTAGAGCTGCATATCAACTTGTTCACAGTGAAATTTCACCTGGTCTTCTTGAAGCTATTATTAAGCATGCAAATATGGAACGCCGCCTCGTAAGATTATGCTAGCATGCCTATGTGGTTTTAAATTGTGGTAAATGTGGTTACCTGTTTCAAGTAGGTTGTATATCTTGATTCTACAGGGGAAACTTGAAGATGCCTTCTCTTTATATGAGCAAGCCATTGCCATTGAAAAAGGAAAAGAACATTCTCAAACATTGCCAATGCTGTATGCACAGTACTCTAGATTTTCATACTTGGTAGGTGGCTGTGCTTATGATGCCTAATTTCTTTCGTCTTTATTATGATATATTCATTTGAAATAAAAAGGGGTTTTTCTTTGATTCAGAGGTCAATGTCAATACTATCGATCATTTTTAAAGTATGACTGAAATTTTATGTATCACTTTTGGCTCCTTCTCTGTCTAAGTATGAACTTTGTTAATATTAGGCTACTGTTAATGTTCTTTATATTTGCTTGTTTTCTAGTTTCAAATACCATTAATGTCAACTTAAATAAGTAGTATGTCCTAGCACCTCTGTTACTATTGCCATATGGGCATTTATGTTTTCAATATGACTATTTTATATGGCTTGTATAAACTCAAGGTCTAACTGTCCTTTTTACTTCATCATAGATTCCATGTCAGAAGCTGGACTTATGTCTTAAATAAAACAAAGCAACTCCTGTTACACCCTACGGTAGTTAAGGAGGTTTTCTTTGTTATTAGGTCTGTGGTTAAGGTTATAGGAAATTTTGCTGATAGAATTCAAACGAGATTTTTATTGTCTCTTTATCATTTTGTTTGATTCCCATTTAGTTCCAAGTGTTTATTGTCATTGCTAAATTCTTTCACTAATGGCCTAATATATTTCTTATCCCCTTTGATTTTGTTTTAGGTTTCTGGAAATGCAGAGAAGGCTAGGGAAATTCTAACTGGAGCACTTGACCAAGTCCAACTGTCTAAACCATTCCTTGAGGTTCTCTCTCTCTCTCTCTCTCAGAGACACACACACACAGACACATCCTTCGTTACATCTTTTCTGAACATTCTCCTCTGTTATCTGATTTCTGATTTTGCTTTTGTTTCACATTTAGGCCTTAATACATTTTGAAACAATTTTGCCACGACCAAGGCAGATTGATTATTTAGAATCATTGGTTGACAAGTTTATAGCCCTGAACATGGATGGCAGTGCTGCAGACAGGGAAGATCTATCTAGCATATTTTTGGAGGTAATTTTTGTTTAAAAAAGTTGCTTGTAAATGACCTGGCTAATTGACTGCAACCATATGTAAATTGTCTGCATGTGCATTGAGTGCTAAGCAATTAAAAATGTATTCTGCTTAAACTTCTTTGTGATTTTTGGTGTTTGAAATTCTGTATTCAGTGTTCTGATTGTTTAAATTTGTTTTTACTTGGAAAAAGCTGGTCTTATGGTTAAATATTGGTACGAAAACTTTAATGGTAGCTTACCTTTAGAAAATAATTGTGCAGTTCTTGAGTCTCTTTGGAGATGTACAGTCTATTAAAAGGGCAGAAGATCGGCAGGCGAAGCTCTTTTTACCTCATAGGTCCATGTCAGAATTAAGAAAACGTCATGCTGAAGATTTTTTGTCTTCAGATAAGACAAAGCTGGCAAAATCTTACTCTGGTGCCCCTTCACCTGGTCAGTCTTTGATGGGTGCCTATCCAAATGCACTAAACCAGTGGCCAGCTGGTTATGGTGCACAGCCTCAAATTTGGCCCCCTACTTCACAGGTACAGGCACAGGCACAACCATGGACTACTGGCTACAGCCAACAGGTAGATTGCACATTTTAATATATCTTTTAATTGTATACCAGGGCATGCTTGTCTTATTTTCATGACTTTGTTCTAGCCTGTGAGTATGTCTGATGTTAGAAGGAAATAGTGTTAACCGGTTCTATTTTTTATTGAAGATAGTCTAGACTTATATAATTCAGTACCTTTAATTTGTATCTCCTGTTAGAAGCACTCTGTGTTCAATGACATGTTTAAAGACTACCTTGTATTTGATCAATAAAGTGTGATGTTCATTATTAACATATTATCTTTTGACATTTGTTCTTTATAAGTTTAACATAGTGGAAAATGCTTTCTCAGTCCTGGTTTCTTAATTCTTTCTTTAGTATGTTAAAAAGGATTGAGATTGATCTTTTTCTGGTTATTCTAGATTCATCTGCAATGGCTGTGATGATCTTTGGCTTGTGCTTATTATTGACTTGTTTGCGAGATAAGTTTCTCATAGGATTTTAGTGGGGTAGATGAAATGGAAAAGTGGGTTTAGAAGCATGTTTGATCTTAAAATGTCACTGGAACTTGATGGAAATATTTTTAGGATTGCAATCAGATCAGAAATGTTGTGCAGGTTTGAATGTTAAACAAGTATCAACATTTCATATTGTTGTGAGATGAGGATGCTACATTGGATGTGTGGGAATGTAAGGAAAGACAAGATGATGAATACATGTATAAGATAAAGATACATATATATATATATATATATATATATATATATGGCAACACATTGACATTAGTTTGGACATGGAAAGAGGATACTTAATAATGCTCTAGTGAGAGTGTGATTTAATGGATATGTAGAAAGTGTAATCTAATGGATATTCGAGAGGAGAGGAAATGGATGGGAATGGTAACAAATTACCTTTCTTTTAACTTAGCTTACCAAGGATGTGGTCTTAATAGAGCAGACTATGTAACAGTAAAAGGCTTAGTTTGTCAGTTGTATGGCTTTTTATGTTAGCATTGTTATTTTATATGGTTATATGTTTGGATTATGTTTAACTTTTGTGAATGGAAAACTAGCAGAAATGTTAGCATTCAATTTATGGCTGCCAATAATCCCTTGTTGAGTGACAATGGTTTTATATAGTTTCATATTATGCTTCTTGTTGTCATTGTAATGTTTGGTTGACAATTTTATAAATTTTTTATTTGCAGGCTGCATATGGTGCATGTAGTAGTTATGGTAGCAATTATGCAACTCCACAAGTACCCACGTCAATTCCGCGAAGTGCCAGTTATGGTGCTTATCCAACTACATATCCTGTTCAGGTATGAAGTTTTCTATCTAATTGTTTCCTATTTGTTTCATAGCTATTTGGTGAACAACAATTTCAAAAACTAGTAACACAACTATCACTATGATGCACCTAGACCAATTTCATTAATGGAAAGAGGTATATCATCCCACTTGCTGCTACTCACTTTTGAAACCTGGACCTTACTTTCTTCAACCCCAAAAGTTGGAAGAATTTAAATATATATATATATATATATATATGTAAGCTTCTCTTAATAATTCTGACGTCTGAAAGATTCATCGCTCTTGCAGTGCCATATGGCAAGGACGTCTGTAACAAGAAAGTTGTTCCTTGTCATTGGACCTACTTAATAGCTCTGAGGCTAGTAGTAATCTGCACTGCAGCATGCATGTAAAATTTGAAGCTAATGTATTTAGAATGATGCTCATATAAATTTACCACTTTTCTTCTCATTCAGTATTCAAGTTTGGAGCTAATGTTTAGCTTTGGTTTTCTGTAGACCTTTCCTCAACAAAATTATGCTCAAGCAAGTGCTCCCACGGCCTTAATCCCAGCTCAGCAACCTGCTGCAGCAGTTCCTCAGACTTATTATGGGACTTACTACTGAGATGGCAATAACGTGATTATCCAATTTCTTTGCTGTCTCTAATATCGTGTCTTATTGTTCGTCTGTACGCTTAACCTTACCTGTTCTTGCTTGTTCTAACTTGAGAAGGCTTAGAAGTTAGCCTAGGTGGACATTTTTGGGATGTTGAGTGGTGGTCCGTTTAGGCTACAGTTGTATATTGTGCATTTGGTATTTTGGTTTCTTTTTTTGTCCAATTTTAGGTTTTTTTTGTGGAACTAGTACAAATGTTAGTGATTTATGGTATTTTTAGTTGAGTTTCTAATTGGAAGACCAAAAGGAAAAAAAAAAAGAAAAGAAAAGATAAAGACGAAAATATTGGTGCAAACATTTTTTATTTTCTCTGGTAAGAGTGCTTTTATTTAGATTTATATTTCACAGCCCAAACGAGGTAGGCCAAGTCTCCTTGGTTGGAGCAAGTTTTAAAGCCATGGACAGCAAAGCTACTGTTTCCGATACAAACAACACATGGGGGACCGTTTCGGAATAACATGTTACACGTTGGGGATTATTTTTTATCATTGCTCTGCTTGTTATGGTATGTTAATTGTTTATGTACCTTTTTATTTTTTCTTTTTAAATTATCCTTTTGGAAGGTGGGGAGAATTTGGTAAAATCGTATACTTTTTGACTGCTTTTAAATAGAACGCTGCGTTTTGGTTCAAGAATTTTGGTTCAAGAAAAGTGAAAACCTGGATAGGCAACCGGGGCCAGTGAATCCACACGGTCCAAAAAATTCCAAATAAAACCCTAGGCTGGCAGATATAAAAAATCCCTTGCTCAAGAAAAGAGTCGTGGAGAAGCAGAGGAGAGGCGATCCAAAATGTCGAAGAGAGGTAAAAAATTTTCCTTTTTTTTCCAATTCGCTAAACAAAAACCACGATGATCTCATCAATTTTTCTTTCTTTTAATTTTGCAATAGGAAGGGGAGGTAGTGCGGGGAACAAGTTCAGGATGTCGCTGGGTTTACCGGTGGCGGCGACTGTGAACTGTGCAGATAACACGGGAGCCAAGAACCTGTACATCATTTCAGTGAAAGGAATCAAAGGGCGTCTCAACAGGCTCCCATCGGCTTGCGTCGGCGACATGGTCATGGCCACCGTCAAGAAAGGAAAGCCCGATTTGAGGAAAAAGGTATTGCCAGCTGTGATCGTCCGACAACGAAAACCTTGGCGTAGAAAGGACGGTGTCTACATGTACTTCGAAGGTCCAAACAATTCCCTTTTTGTAAAATTTTATCTTTGATTTGTTTTTGTTGCTTCTTTTGATAATGGGGTAGCTGGTTTTTATTGTTGGTTACTCTTAATGGGAAGCATAAACTAATGAGAATCTGCCAGTTTTAAACAGCATGATGCTGTTGTTTATCTATTGCATTGTGTTACCTGTCAGCTGGTATATTTGATTTAGTTACTATGTATTACTAGCATTTATTTGTCTTTGTTTCAAAACATAATTTGGGTTTATTTATCTGTTTGCAGATAATGCTGGTGTCATTGTCAATCCCAAAGGAGAAATGAAAGGTAAACCTACCCATTTATCTTCCTCATTCTATTTTGTTATATCCAATTAGAATAATGGTGCTTGTTTAATTGTGGGGGTTAAATTCTAAAGTTTAGCTGTTTTTGTCGTTTTGAGTTCTGTTCAAATAAAGTTTTTTGCATGGGTTTTCTCTGATTCTCTTGCTCTTGCAATATCAGTTGTGAGTGAAATCAAGTTAGCATGCCTGGTGCATCTAAATTCTGAGAAGGAGATCATACCTATGTGACCATTCACTTTAAGAATCTAATTTCTATTCCTCTAAGTAAACATAGAGCCTGAGAAATGTCAGTTATCTTTTCTAGTAGTATTGACATAACTTGAAAAGATGATGTTTTATATGTTTTTGTGGCGGCCATAGGTGTAATGAACTTACCTTTTGTTAGGGTGGCTCTATCAATGCCTTTATTATTGATTTGTAGTTCAGTGGCAGGAAGTGATATGTTGTTGGATTTGATATTTGAAACTTATTTGGTTTCATTGATTTGGTGTTTTCAGGATCTGCTATCACTGGTCCCATTGGAAAGGAATGTGCTGATCTGTGGCCTAGAATTGCCAGTGCTGCCAATGCCATCGTCTGAAAGATTTTCATGGTTTTGTTTGCGATTGTAGTTTTGATGCTATCTTTCTATTATTTTCCTTTTAACATGTTTTGAGAGGCTTTTTTCAAACAATATTATAACTTGTTTTCGAATATCTAGTTGTCTAAAACTTATTTTCTAATTTCTTTTATGTTATTACAACTGTTTTAGCAAGCTTCCATCTATCTTTTTCAGCTTAAGTAGAAGCAACAAATTCCCCCTCAATATGATACCTCTATACCAATTTGCATGATCAGAATGATTTTCCTCGTCCAACTAGCTTTAGAACTGGGGAACCTTTTGGGGAGTTGAATTGCACCATCATCTGCCATGGCTCCCACAGGTCCTGTTACATTCTTTCTAATCTATGAGAAGATTTTGGTATGAAGTGATGAGCTAGTAGTGAATGAATCATTTTATTTCCATGCTCTAAATCATTTCATAAGTAAGTTCATTGGATCGATGATTAGATTGGTAAGAGAAAAAAATGGTATCTAATTAGTTAGCTAATTCAAATTCCTAAAAACAGCTCAGAGCATGGTGTGCCTACTGCCAACTTTTGGGAGATTACATTTTGAAAGGATTTACTCGTTCAAGGCAAGGTGTGATAATACTTAAGCAATGGTCTCTAATTTCTGTTTGTTGTATGTATAATTCAATCTTAGGTCTAAACTTGTTTAAAATGAAAAATTAGTACATAAAGGATTTATAATAAAAAATGTTTTTAAATACGTATTATTTAATCATATTATCTATTTTAAGTATATGTTTTAATCATATAAAAAAAAATACCTGTCAGCCGATTAAGGCCCCTTAGGCACCATACTTTTCTCTATAGTAGTAATAGATGGATGTTTTGTAAATCTTTTAACTCTATACTTGAATTAGCCAAAAACTGTCTATCATGTGGTATGGTAAGTGAGTTCTCTCATTAAGGAAAAAGAAGTTTGAGTGGGTGAGTTTCATGTTGAAGGAATGTGTGTATTACATTTATGTCTTATGGTATACCAGCAAACACAGAATAACTGAATACTAAATCAGTTTTTATTTAGAAAAAAAATCTCACATCAAATGATGAAACCGACTAGCATCTCGTACCAATAATCTCTACAAGAACATTTACCATTTTTGAAATGATGAAACTAATAGCATCTCGATCAATAATTTCTCTGTTTTTGATATCTGATATGATCTTAATAGCAACATGGCAATCACTGCAGATCCGCAATTTCTTCATCACCCTTATAGGAGCACCAGCAGGAGTATTCATTACAGCAAAAGCAATAGCCATTTTTTCGCTATGATGAGTCAAGCTTTATTCTTTTTCCTCGTTATCCATGTCTTGCTGAACAGAACCAATGTCAGGCACTAACCCTGTAACTTCATCTCTGGTGTTAGCTCTTTCAAATATAAATCAATCTCCTCTGATTGCGGATGCACTTTATCATCCATGCAAAACTGATGAACTTGATGCTTGATTTCCAGCCAACTTGGCTCTTTCTTTACTCTCCTATCTCTCATGGCTTTTCTTACCTCAGAAACATCCTGCCACCTTTCAGCAGAAGCATGAATGTTTGAAAGGATTACATATGAAGCTGATTCCTGTGGATCAAGCTTACGCACTTCTTGAGCTATTCTTCTTGCCATGTCTGCATTCTTGGGGATCTTGCATTCAGATAACAAAGTTTTCCATATGATAGCATCTCCTTTCACTGGCATTGATCTTATCATAGCCTCTGCTTCATCCAAACATCCGAAGCATAACATTATACAAGGAAACAGCAGCCTGTAAGTTTCCGAATTTGAAGTACATGTTTAGTAAGTGATTTGATATAAATCTGTCTTTTGAAGACCCAGACATGATAACTAAAGAACGAAGTTGTTTTCCAAGAGACTGAGTTTTGGTGTATGCAAAGATTGGATGAGGTGGGAAAAGAGAGGTGGGTCTGATGAAACATATCAAAGGCTTGTTTTGTGAGTCCTTTGGAGCAGAGATTGGTAAACTCTAAGGTGAGATTAGGAGCAGATTCACAGGCGGCATTTGTGGAAAGAAGACAAAGGAAGAAGAGAAACGCAAGTAACTACCCCTACACATGCGACAAAGCCCCGACCGGTTATATCAAGTCCATATATTTTCTCTCATTTTCTTCCGTGAATCCCCATCATCAGCTCCTTGAACATTAATCAGTTGTGCCCGAAACCCAGCTTGGCTTCAAAGCTCTTCCCGATCTGGTCTCTCATTGCGAAATCACCCAGACATATCTTTGGAAGAAATGATGAAACTGATAGAAGGGTTTGTAGATATACTAATTTTAGCATCTGGGTATCAACCACCTGGTCTTCTTGCCCACTGGGACTCCCGTAACATCAAGCGAGCCTTTCAATGGCCTCTCTTCTTTGAAAACGTCAGTAGTCGTTACCCTCTCTCTCTTTCTCTCTTCTCTAAAAACTCATTGATTGCCTGATTCTATTTTTGTAAGACAGTGGTTGTTCAAGAAATTTGAGATTTTTCCATTTAAAAAATTACAAATAATTCTTTTTCATTTCTTAATTGGCGCAATGCAAAAATTCTATTAATTGAAGCTTCTTTTACCATTTTGTTCAGGTTTTTAGGCGTTTAAGTAGCTTTTTATGTTTACAAGAGTCTATGGAGGAATTTGATGCAGCTCTTTTTGAAATGACATCTCGTCAAAGGCCGATAGCAGCAAGTTGCTAAAGTCAACTCATAAATACTATATTTACAGGGTGAACAACTGAAACAACGATGGAAAGAGCCATTTCTCAGTTGTATCCCAAGCGTGCAGACAGAGGTAAAACAAGTACAAGTTTCCTATCAATGTTGATTCCATTTATTGATTAATTTTGAATTAAATTATTTAAAATCAAATTAATTAAAATATTTTATTTTATTTTTATTAATTAAACTAAAATTTTTAGTTTTAAACATTAATCGATCAAATTAATTTTGATCGATTCAGATAAAGCTTTGGTTAATCGAAAATATTTTTTGTTATTGCTTTTGATTTTGGACACTCACAAAAAAAAATGCTGTAGACAAATAGAACACAATTGCCAAAGTTGACACAATAATATTAAATCCTTGTAAATACATAATGCAATATTCTTAAAATAATATAATATTAAATCTTTGCAAACACATAATGCAATATTCTTAAAACATCATTCAAAATTTTTGACACAAATATTATCCAAAGGTCTTGACTCAACCAGATATAACACAATAAATAATTGCTAACAATATTTTGACACAAACAGATATAACACAATAAATCATTGCTAACAATATTTTTAACACAAACATCATCCAAAGTTAAGCAAAATTACTTAAAACATCATCCAAAGTTTCAAATTCTAAAACATTAAAGTTATCAAACTTAAACTAAAAACAGAATTGAAAGTTCCAAACTAAAAAATAGTCAATCATCATCCATTGCTCCATCCATAAATTTATAACTCAAAGGCTAGGCTTGATTATACTGTATCCAAAGATATATCTAAAGACCATAAAGTACAAATCAAGATTAACATTCATAAATTATTTTCAATACATAAAGTGACAAGAAGATAAACAAAAGGAAAATATATTTATATAGTTTTCAATTTTGTCAAGTTCTTATAGCTCTTTCACCATATGTAGTTGGTTTGATGATTTTCGAATTCAATCTTGAGTACAAATAAGGGCTTGCTCCACTTTATGAGTTAAAGAACTCCTAAATGAATCAAGAACACGTCTTCCAATACTAAATGCAAACTTAGAAGTAATAGTAGAAATAGGAACAGCTAACACATCTCTGGCCAATTCTGAAATGATAGGAAATCTAAGGTTGTTGATTTTCCACCACCCTAAAATATCAAAATCTTCACTAGACAGCTCATTTAGATGCTTATTCATCTTTGACTTTTGGTTTACAACACCAGATTCAATTACGTGCATCCTATATAAAGACTCTGTACGCTTTTTCAATCTATGTTGTGGTTCTTATCACACATCATATTTGATTAGGCATTATCACTTGAAAGTGAAGGATGATATGCATGACATTATTTATAAGTAACTTCCTTCACCTTTTTCACCATTGACAAACCCAATTCATCATCATACATACTTTTAAGTACAAATTTCACATAATTTAATTTATGCCTAAGATCAAGAACAACCACAACAAAAATAAGCATATTTATCTTCTCAACGTTTTCCCAATACCTATCATATTTATCTTTTATTCTCATAGCCATCTTGCAAAAGACATTTCATTTCAATAAGTTCATCAAACAAAATGTTGGATTTGACACAGGAAGTACTTGAAACCCATAATGTGAGTTCAAAGAAATGCTTTAGAAACTGTCCTAAAATTTTAACAATTTTCTAATAATCCTTTGTAGGTAAACTTTCCTCTGGCTCAAGTTCAACTCCAAAGTTATCAAACTTTTCAAATCTTTCAAAAGCTTTCTCAAATTTTTGAGCAGTATCCAACTTTAAGTAAGTAGAGTTCCATTTAGTACAAACGTCAAGGCATGATAAACATTTGCTATTTATAAGTTCAATCTTAACACATTCTTAAAATTTTTGTAATCTAAAGGCAAATTACCTCACATATCTCACTGTCTCCCTATCACGAGTAATCGATTTATTCATTTCTTTCTAGCCTTCAGGTATAATTAAATTCATAATATGTGCAATACATTTCACATGAATGTATTATCCATTTAATAATACAACCCCTTCGAATCCTAAATTTTTTCCTTAAGTATCCAATAACAACATCATTTGCACTTGCATTATCAACTGTGATAATAAACAAATTTATCAATCCCTCAACCAAGCAAGCATTTCTCAATCATCTTACCAATGGCTTCACCTTTATGACTTGTATTAGACAAAAGTTCAAGATTCTTTTATTCAATTTTCAATCGTTATCAAAAAAGTGAGTCGCAAAACACAAATAATTCATTCTTTGCAAATATGTCTATTTGTCTGTGGTTATACAAATTTTTGGACATGAATGTCTCAAAAATTGTTTTATTTTCTGTTTTTCATCTAAATAAAGTTGATAAACATCCCTTGTAATCATAGATCATGAAGGAACATAAAATTTAAGACATGTGACAGACATAAAGTCCCTAAAGCCTTCACTTTCTACAAACTTAAAAGGTAACTCATCAATCACAATCATACAAGCTAAACTTTTTCTAGTGGCTTGTTGATCAAACTTTCAAGTAGTGATATTTTCTTCCCTGTCAAGACCCTTACGTTGCAAAATTAATTGGGCTTGTGCACTATCAAAGTTATTAGGATTTTGCTTTCATAAGTTTATGTGATATTTTAGAGATCCAGTACTATTTTTCTTTCCATCATAACAAAATTTCTTACTACAATAATTACATCTACCTTTTGACTCACCCTTATCATTAACAAACTTAGTAAAGTGAGTCCATACTTCTGACTTTGGCTTCATGGCTTTTCTTTTCGTCCTTTTTGAACTCCAAATATTGGGATGACTTGAAGTTTCAGGTATTGAACTTTCAGATTCATTCATATTGTGAGAATTAGGTGAAGAAGAATCTCCCGTATCGGACATTTACAAAATATATATATATATATATATTACATAAAATTCAAGTATCATAATCTTAGGGATTAGGAGTATATGGGTTTCAAGTTTCATTTATCAAATAGAGAGGGATGCAGATAGTCTGTTAATGTTCTTGAAATCCAATTATATAATCTCAAAATAGTTATTTTCAAGTTAACTAGTACATAGGCATCACAACTACACAACTTAAAAAAAAAAAAAAAGAGCAAATTGTACTAAAGAAATGTCCTTTGTATTTATAAAGACATTAAAAACAATGGAGAAAACTGATAAATCTATAATTTGTCTCCATAGGATGGTCAATTTCAAGGATCGTCAATATAAACTGATAAATCAAATTACTTAGCCCACAGATCATATTAGAAAGAGAAATTAACTTGTGAATAGTTTTCAACTATGCCATTTTCGTTGACATTGACTTGTTAACAACCGCTGCTTGCAACTCAAACAAATGTAGTGGTTTTTTTTTTAGTTTACTAGTCTAAAATTAACCTAATATATTTTTTTAATATTAATTTTTAAAGAATAAATATCACTAACTTGATATAGTCAATGACCAAGGCATTACTCATTTAATCTAATGTTTTTACAAATGCATATTAATCAACAGAAATTATATATTTATGACCATACATGTCATTAGTAATTTATTTATTTTATATAAAAGATGTTGTAATTTAGAAATAAAATAAAAGAACTGTTAAAATTTAAACCTCGAATTTAATAAATATTATTTTTTAAAAACTGCAATTATTCACCAAAAAATGTTTGAACAAGTGATTAATTTATAAAAAAAAAAAAACTTACATTACATGAATAGAATGTTGAAGCCGTTATTATTTGTAAAGAACCACACTGGTTGAATAGAACCCAACTAAAACCTTAAATATAACAACAAAATTAGAAAAAATTAGTATAAATTTAAATAACAAAAATGATAGTTAAAACAAGAGAGACAAAATGCTCAGATAAACTTTAAGACCTTAGGTGAAACCAAGAATTGTCGAGGTGAAAATAGGTTGAATGTTGAGAGGCTAAGGACTCTTGACTCTTGAAACAATGAAAGCTGAGAGAAGAAAATGGACTCTTAAGTTGAAGAGTGAGGCTAAAGTTTCAAACTTTCCCGAGAGTGGAATTGGAAAACAGAAAAAAGGTAGAAATGAGGGAGTACGGAGATATAGGAGATGCAGGCATGTGGCGGGAAGAGATGAAAACTTTTCAAAATGAGAGTTTTTTTTTATATATACATTTAGCCTACTTTCAGGTTAACAAGTCAATAGTCAACAGCCTCAAAATTAAAAAAAAAAAAATTATTAGTTGAAATGATGCATTTAAGGTAGTGAATTTTAATTAATTATTTAGTTAATTTGATTTAAAAATTGAATTAATTGAAAATCGAAATTTGTTTAAAATTATTTTCAAAAGTTAAATCGATTTAATTTAATAATTAATCAATTAATTAAATCAAATTGATTCGATTGGTTAATTTTGTTAAAATTAATATTTGAACACTTCTAGGTGAAATTAAGAACTGTTAGAGTCAAAATGGGTCGAATTTTGAGAGGATAAAGACTTTTCACTCTTGAAAGAATTAGATTGGAGAGAAGAAAATATGACTTTTGAGTTAAAGAGGAAGGCTAAAGTTTCAGACTTCATTGGGAGTGGAATTGAACAACAGGAAAAGATAGAAATGAGCGGCTAGGGAGATGCGAGCATGTGGTGGGGAGAGATGAAAACTTTTCACAATGAGGGTTTTTTTTCTTTTACTTTTATAGCCTACTTTTAGGGTAACAAGTCAATAGTCAACAGCCTCAAAATAATTAAAAAAAAAATATTAATTGAAACGGAAAATCTAAGCTAGTGAATTTTAATTAATTATTCAGTCAATTTGGTTAACTCAGTTTTTAAACTGAATTAACCAAAAATAAAATTGTCTAAAATTATTTTTTAAAAATTGAATTGATTTAATTTGATGATTGATCAATTAATCAAATTAAATTGATTTGATCGATTAATTGGTTAAAACCAAAACTTGAATAGCCCTAGATCAAAATGACTCTTGAAAGAATTAGAGTTGAGAGAAGAAAATAAGACTGTTGAGTTAAAAAGAGAGGCTAAAGTTTCAGATTTTGCCGAGAGTGGAACTGAAAAATAAGAAAAGGTAGAAATGTAGGAGTAGGAAGATGCAGGCATATGGTGGGAAAATATGAAAACTTTTCAAAATGAAGGGTTTTTTTTTTTTTTTTTAGCTTACTTTTAAAGTAACAAGTCAATAGTCAGCAGCCAATAACCTCAAAACAAAAATAAAAAAAAACATATAAACTATTAGTTGAAACGGTACATTTAAGGTAATAAATTTTGATTAATTATTCGATCAATTCGATTTTCGAACCAAATTAATCAAAAATTAAATTTTATCTAAAATTATTTTCAAAAATTGAATTGATTTAATTCGATAATTGATCAATTAAACGAATTAAATCAATTCGATCAATTAATTTAATAAAAACTAAAATTTAAACACCTCTACAAACACATAAGAAAAGCAAAGCTCTTAACAAACAAATTTCAAGCCTGCAAGCCATCCAATAAGATTTTATAATGCTGGATTTCTTTTGGCAAAACTTTTATGTTGGACCTCAGATAAAGATTTCGTCTAACTTGCCAACCACTACAACACTTTTCCTTTTCTACTTTGCTATCAATCACTAAAAAATCACTTGCAATCCTCCTCATTAACCCATTAACTTAGTAATAAATCGAAGATTTTGATTTATTTTGTTAATTATTATAGGAATAGAATCTTTGAGATCCAAAATCCCGTGGAGATAAAATAGAATACCTGATTCTTGGTGTTAGTTTGATTGTATTGCTATAAACAAGATAGCCATCCCTTTCTTGACATGTGTCATCCGAAATTCTCATGGACCATGTTTCTACCTGTGAGGTTAGACCTAAAAAACTCTCTAATACACATTTTATTTAAAAAAAAAAAAGAGAAGGCTTTGAAGGCAACGTTTGGCATATAAGATTAATTGAAAGATAAGATATTAATTATTTTATCATATATTGTTATGTATTTAAATAAAAAGATTGGATTATTGAAAAAATTAAATATTCTATACCAATACGATAACTTTAACATTTGAAAAAATAAAAGATTATTTTCAATTCATAGGCTTAGATAATTTATTAAAATTTTTAAATATCCTCTTTTATCCTTAAAGTTAAAAATCTAAATTTTAAATTATAAAATATTTGAAAATATTCTCCACTCTTCAAATTTTTTTCATTTTCCATCGATGAAGAAAACCCATCTATTTTTCATGAAAAAATGCTCTCTGTTTCTTAAACTTTCTAGTTTTAGAGCGATTATTTTCATTTATCTCTGTCAATTTTTCTTTTAGATTTCTCATTATCAAGTGATGGTTTTTTAATTTTCTTTTAGATTTTTTGGTAATTAAAAATTTTTTTATCTCTTTATTTCGTGAATGAAACATAAGTTAACTTCGATTTTAAAACTTGAGATTTGTTTGCTTGAAACACTTTTTTCGCCTATAAATGAACATGATTGAAGACATAAACTTACAACCTTTTAACTTTTATTTTTTCAAAAATCAAATAAAAAAATAAATTTTAGATTTGACTTAAAAAAGAATTAAGTGTTAATTTTTAAAATGTTTCATATGTTCAAATCCTTTTCCAAACACAAAGGAAAGTACCATCATCAATAAAAAGATTAAAATCAAATTAGTATATAAAATATAATTTTAATTAATAAAAAATATCATTCTATTTTAATATTAATTTTGTACATAATAAACATGATAAATAATAAAATAATATTTTATTTTATTTTTAATTTTTATATACATCAAATATCACATAACATAATATAATATAATTTAATCTTATTTATAATTTTATATTATTTTAGCTTATTATAATGTTATATACTGAGCATAACTTAAAATATTAAAAATAAGAAGAAAAAAAAATGCAGGGGCCCCATTGGCCTTTTAGCAACTGAAGGACCGCATCTCCAATCATATATGAGCAACGGTAACGCCCACGTGCAAAGCATCAGATATTTTCTGGCACCCACCTATCAGGACTCTCCACGTCGACAACATGTGGACCCCACACTAAATTCCAGTCACTCCAATTATATTCCCTTCATCTTCACAAAGGTTGTTTGCACGCGCTACTAAAGGCTCGTGAGCCCAATCACTGTTTGTTTGTTTGTTATGAGCTTCGGAGTCAGAAAGGGCCAAAAGAGGAGGTAAAAGCGCAATTCGTCACCGTTCACATCCTTTTTAGGCCAACGCCGGTGGCGGAATTTAAAAAAACACCAACCTGTAATTCCAGAATAATTTCCTCCACAATTCTTCTTCTTTCTGTGACCCAATTTTTGGATTCGATTCTTTTTGGTGCGTTTTCAATCCTGTGAGGTTTCTATCAAGTTTTTAGGTAAGAATTGATTTTCCCATTTGCTTGTTTTTGCTTAATTTCTCCTTTTTTAGAGGTGAAAAATCTGAAATTTATTGTTTTCTATTTAATAAAGTTTTAGTTAAATTTTGTTGCTTTTTGAAAACGTTTAAGTTGTAATTCGATTGGGTTGTCTCTGTTTTTTTTTTTTTTTTAGGGATATTATGTCATTCTTTTGTTTCTTTACATGTTGGGATTTATGGATTTTTTTATGTGAATTTCACATTTTCAGTTAATGGGGTGAATTTCTTTTGGTTTGAGTTTTTTCTAATATTTGATTTTTGGAGCTTATTATCATTGTTTTATTGGAATTTTGTGAATGGTGTTTAGATGTTAAAGCTTTAGTTTTTTTTTTCTTTTTTTGTGTTTGTGTGTGTTTGAAAAATCGGTATTTTGATATAAATGAAGTGGAGCTTGGTCTTATTTCCAAAAAAAAAAAAAAAGGAGCTTGGTCTCACTGAAGATATATAGCTCTGGAAAAGGTAGGATTGCTTAAAGCATTTAATTAATCAAGTTCTAGATATATGAGATAAATTTATTTGACTTAAAAGTTTGTTTTTTTAGGGTTGTTTTTTAACAAAGGGATCAGGGATCGAAAAGTTATTAATGGTCATCCCAAAATATGAAATCCCTGTGGTGGTTCAAAGTTAGTTCTGAGTTAATTAAAGGTATTGTAATGCTTACTTAGATGTATGAATAGAAGCATATTTTAGGTTAATGGGATTGGTGGACCATTGTTGATGAAATGTGTCTTATTCTTGAAATGGCATTTGTAAATACATATTAGAAGTTTTTTGGAATGTAAAGATACACCTGAAGCATATTGAAGGATAGAAATAGCTAAATAGGAAAATAGTGCATTTTGGAGTAATAAAGTTACTTTTAGCCTTCTTGGTGATGGAGAAAATTGCAAATAGTGAGTTTAATTTTGCATCTCATTCCTTATCAAGGACTGGCTTTGTAACAGTCTTGAGCTGTTTTGATATAGATTCTGTCATCACAATATTAGCAAACAGGTTATAGATGCTTTCAAGGTAATTGGCTTCAAGGCTGGAAAGAACCCGTTTCACTTTATGATGAGGTTATGAATTGATAGACCAATGCTTGCTTGCTCTCTTTTGCCTGTTCCTTTAGTTTTCTTGAATGCAAACTGGACTCTGCTCTAATGTTTGTGTTCTTATGCATTTTGAGCTTATAATAATTGTTTATTCCAAGCACACATGGCTAATCTGCAAAATAGAGTTTTCTAGGTTGATGTTCTTTTATACACATCAATTTTTTTATTTATTACATAATGTTTATTGATGCCAAAAGTGATGACCTTTCCTTGTGGCATAGCATTTGGAAGCAGTATCAAGGGTGCTTTCTGGCATTTTTATTGGTTTGTCTTCGACAGTATGAACTGTGCCAATTAAGTTAATATTGATTGACAAACAATTGGCACCCTCATTTTAAATTTTAGGACAACCATGGAGGCTCGACCTGCTTTATCCATTCAGAGATCAGGTGCTAGGCAGCTTAGTGACCTGGGGATGTCTGGAGGGTTGTCATCATCTTTACCAGCCCTTTCAGCACATTTGGAAGAGACATATCCAAAGCTGCCTGACACTCAACAGTTGTCCGCAGAAAGGGAACTGAGGACAAGGCCTCTGGTCCATGCAACTCATGCACCCACCAATAGTGGAGTGGTTGGGCACATATTTTCATCATCCTCAGGATTTTCGAGTGAACTTCATTATTCGTCTGCACCACCATGTGAGAAGCATTCAAGAAATGCTCCTTTCATTTCTCAGTTGCCAACTAATGCTGCAGCTTTGCCATTACCACAATCGTCAAATTCTGCATTGCCTCAGTCTACAATATCAAGTAATTACAAGAAAGAAAATAGAGGTTCTTGGTGTACGGATCCGGGTTTTCTTGAATGTCCGATAAGCAGCCCTGTCCAGAGCAGTCAAGTAGAAAGCAGTAGTTGTTGTGGTATCATGACATCTGAGGACTTCAGCAAGCGAAATGATTGGCAGGAATGGGCAGACCAGCTTATCACTGATGATGAGGCTTTGGCCTCCAATTGGAATGAGCTTCTTGTTGACAACAATGTTACGGATCTGGAGCCAAAGGTGTGGATATTTTGTACTATGAAGATTAAGCTTAACCACGAAAACTGAATACTTTTTGTCATTGTTTATCATTGTTTAATGTTCCCTTTCTGTTGCTCCAGGTGGCATATCAGGTGGCAAAACCATGCACAACCATGCCTGCACAGAAACCACAAGCACATCAGCAACTTCCTTCTCCTTCTGTAGAAAGTCCCAGTGTTGTAAATGCCTCTTCATCGGCAAATAATGCCCCAGCAAAGCCACGAATGCGATGGACACCAGAGCTTCATGAAGCCTTTGTTGAGGCTGTCAATCAACTGGGTGGCAGTGAAAGTGTGTAACTTTCAGCTCTCATGAAATTGCTTGCCTAAAATTGTAGGCTTATGTTTCAATTTGTTTGGCACTTTTAACTTACAGAAGCTACTCCAAAGGGTGTCTTGAAGATTATGAAGGTTGAAGGCCTGACTATTTATCATGTTAAAAGCCACTTGCAGGTGCATACACTTCTTTTTTAATTATTAAATAGTTTATGTCTCTATCCGTGCTCAAAGGCACTGGTTAGATTAGCCTTTTAATTGAAGATGCTACTTTCTTAACTGCAGAAATACAGGACAGCTAGGTACAGACCAGAGTCCTCAGAAGGTACATGACAAGCTTCTTTTGAGTTTCTTCCTTTTTCCTATTTGTGTTATTTCTCTGCCGTCATGCATCTAGTGCCTGTTTTGCTTTATTGGAAAATATTGCTTTGAAAGGTTGGTTCATTCCTTGATACCTGTTCATATATTTTCTCTTAGTTACTTATGTTGGGGTTGAGGGGGATTTGTCATAGAGTGTTTGTTGAGATCTATATAATCCATCTTGTCCTCATTAATGAAATGAAGATCATTTTTGTCTCCACTTGGTTAAATCGGTTCCAGGACCTTTGACCGTTAGTGAAAATTTATGATGCATGCCTATCATGCACTCAATAATCCTAGCCTTCCATACTGATATACTGGAAATCTTAGCAATATATTTGGATGGATGGATTGTTGAGACTGAGAGGTATATAGTCCATCTTGTCCTCATCAATGAAGTGGGGATCATTTTTTTCTTCATTGGTTCCAGAATCTTGCTGTCTGGTGGAAAAATTGTGATGTGTGTCTATTGTGCACTCAATAATCCTATCCTCCCATACTGATATATTAGAAATCATAGCAATGTGTTTGGATGGATGGATGGATAACTAGGGAGATTGCTTACAATGTAAGAAGAGATGACATATCTGTTGTGAGATGATTCTGGGTCCTTAAATGTCATACCACAATTTCCCCCAGAAGTGTTTTCTGCCTCTATGACTGCCTCCTTCATGCACACACATGCACATATGCTTACAGATTCATATTTCCACATAGATGCATGCATGTTAAGTACTTGATTCTTATTTTCTGGTGTTGATACTAAACATCCTTTTTTGTTATTTATGTCAATCAAAGATATGCATTTGATTAAAGAGTGCATTTTTGGATTTGCATCCCTCATTCAGTGACATCGTCTTATATTGATTCATTTCTTATCTAGTTTAGATTTCTTAGTCTGAACCATCTTTGATAACTTTGCCCCTTCACATCAGTTGGCAAAGGGAGACGGAGATTTTTTAGACTACCTATTTCCAATCTTAGCTTTATGGCTTTTATTCATTCTATGAGCCTATACCTCCACTGTGCTTTAGTAAACATATCTTAGTCTAATGAATTCACTCAGTATCTATGAAAGCGGTTATCTTTGTTGTTACGGATGCTTTGTCATGTTGAGTTATTTTGTTATTGGATCATAACATATTTAAGGGACTTATATTATGTATATTGGATCCTCACAAATTCTCAATGTGAGAGTGGGAGCATCACTTTATATCTAGCTGAAATAATGACTCTTGCTTGCAGGATCCTCGGAAAAAAAATTGACTCCTATTGACGACATATCATCTCTGGACTTGAAAACGTAAGTAATCTCTAATGATTTGTCAAGGATTTCTAATAATACTGTATGGTATGTTTATTTGTTTTTTTTGGCGTAGAAAATTGCATCCAAATTGTTTGAGCATCTGCTTTTACACTTGGGGAGCTTTCATAAATTCTGAGTAGCATACTTAGTAATTATCTGGACCTTTGTTGTTATAAATGAGTGGGATGTTGCATTTCTAATGGGGATTATCTCCTTTTTGTGAACATGGTTAACACAAGGCAAGGGTCTTCTAACATTTGCAGGAACTCTCCTAATTGGAAATTACTTCATCTTCATATTTGCAAACTATCTGCTAAACTCATCAGATGGCAAATGTTGATCTGAAACCATGAAAGGGATGGTTGATGGGTCCCATTGTTCATATTTTCAGTTCTGCTAACTGAAGTGGATTTTGCATTCAAATCTTATGTAGTGTTTAAGTTGTGGCACAAATAAGTTTGTCATATGTTTTGCAAACCAAAAAAGTTTGTCATGAGTGTTCCTTGGTAATTCTATTTGGTAGGGAGAGGAAGCTGCAAAATTGAAAATTACTTTCCCATTTTGTTATTGCATTTTGCAAAAATTTGATTATAGAAGATTCTAGATGGAACCCAGAAGGAGCAGCATACCTAATATTCAAGGGTCTAATGACACTTCATTCTGTTGATTTGTTTAATTTAGTTCATTGTATTAAATGCATTTTTCATTTTGAACTAGAGCAGGGGTGCGGGGATCACTGAAGCTTTGCAGTTACAGATGGAAGTCCAGAAGCGGTTGCATGAACAACTTGAGGTATGAATTTGTGTCAGAAAGGATTTTGGTTAATAAAAGCAGTGTACTTGTACTTAAGAAAATTGAATTAAATAGAATCCATCTTTCTAAATATAGCTTGGAGGAATAAGAGAAATATAAAATCTTTTTCTCCTTTTAGACAAGTACAAATTATGTTTCTGGTTTGCTCTCATTCAGACTCATGACTTCAGAATATGAACTGTACAAACTGATTTTATTGCCATGAGTAGTCGGAGAAGGTGGGAGCATCTGCTGGGTTTTTGAACATTGAGGGGATATGATGCTATAGTCCTATTGGATTAAGGGCATTTAAAGAAACTGTTTTCTTTGAAACTCTTTTCACTTGGATATTATGCATTGCACGTATGAGTTTATGGGTATTATAGACAAGGGTGTCTTTGTTGCTGGGATATTATATCATTTGTGATGTGGCTGTTGCATAGATAAATCACTTTCTTTTTTGTAGTTTTTTCAGCAGCATCTTTTGGCTAACATATGTGGCCTGACTTGATTACTATCAGGATGTGCTTAGTAATTCTTGGAATGAAGAGTGGCTATATGAAATATATTTTGTAGGATACTGACTTTTGCCATTTTAAAGTTAAAGACTCATTGGCTTTAGCGGTGAACTTATTTACCGTGTAGTACATCCATCATGCCTTGTGGAGGTGTGCGCTATTATTGTCAAAGTTCTGACTGAACCCATCAATCGCTGATGTTTCAGTTTTTTCCCTGGTGGCTGTTGGTGTAATGTTGATACCTTTCCTTTTTCTGCAGATTCAAAGAAGTTTACAGTTGCAAATAGAAGAAAATGGGAGGTACCTCCAAATGATGTTTGAGAAGCAAAAGTCTGGTTTAGACAAGCTGAAGGTATATCCGGAGAATCCACCTGCTCCGTCTTCACATGCTACCAAAGAGTCTTCTGCAAAAAGTGAACTGGAAGCCTCCCAGATGGATCATGCAAATTCAGGAACTGACACGATTAATGCCAACTCCATGTTGGAGAGAAGTTCACGAGAAATGGGTGGAGAGCAAAAGGCAAATGAAACTGGTGATCTAGAGAAAGCTGAAACGTGTATTTCTGAGTCGACTTCACAACCCTCAAAGCGTCCAAGAATTGAAGAATAAGTTTAAACAGCTTTGAACTGACAAGCATAATTATTTCATGGATCATTTCACTAGTAGGATAAACCAAGTTGAGATAAGGATAGAACTTTCGAAGTTTTAAAGTCCTCTACTCTCTTGTTAAGTGCTTGTGGACAATTGCTTAAGCAGTCAGATATTTAGTTGATAAACAAAAGCTTATAACAAGGTTGAGTTTGATTTTCCAGTCTCCAACCTCCTGAAGTGAAAATAAAGGTGCATTGAATACAGTTGCTGAAATTGCATTAGTTATGCCAGTGAAGGTGTTCCATTTTGTAGGAAATATTGTTCTCTTAAATTGTTAAAAGATATCAATAAAATTCCTAATCCCAGATTTGTACATGGCATTCATCAAAATCCTGCCTGGTACTTAGCACATTGTGTTTCTTAGTATTTTCTTCAGAAAAAGGAAAATTAGAACTATTTTCCAGTGTATCTGTGCATGTACATGAATAATACAAATGACATTGACCCTTTGTTGTTTATCCCACAAAAAAAAAAAAAAAGGAAATTGACCCTTTCTTTGAGTATTTCCAGCTTTATATTATCCTGGGATGTTATTCGAATTTCTAGGTTTATAGGAGAAGACAGGTTGGATAAACTAATGGAAACTGCATGGGTAGACCATGCAAAGCTAAAAGGAACTCGGAATACCTTGGAGTCCTGCTATGGTGAAAGAAATAAAGAAATGGATGATACAGAGCAAAGGCTTGGCTTCTGCGATGATTCAAGCTGTTCCTGCCATTAATGTTTCTGATACAAACAGTGCTGGACTTGAGGATAATCTAAGCCATACCAAACCAGCGGCATGACAGAACCGGCCAGCTCCAACGACTCCAATATTATTGAATATGGTGGGAGTCGTGGCTAGGGTGTCTAATGCAATGAATAATGGTTATGGTTCATGAGGTCCCTTTTTTGGCAAGTTATTCTTCGCCTTCTGGGTCATTCTTCACCTCTATCCATTCCTCAAGGGTTTGACGGGAAGGCAAAGCAGGATTCCAACCATTGTTGTGTTGTGGTATATACATCTTGCATCAATTTTCTCACTAGTCTGGGTTCGGTTTGATCCTTTCTTGCCCAAACAGACAGGTTCAGTCCTCAACAATGTGGAGAGTGCTGATCATGCTTTTCTGGTCCATTTATCACACCTCACTATATTTTTTGGCTGTATGCCACTACTGATTGCTTTGATTCTCCAAATGTTTTGAAACATTTTGGAGGGATTTATATATTGTATATTTAGTCTCTTTAAGATTTTGTTGGTAATGGAAGAAAGAATGCCATTTATTCCTCACATTGTACAAGGTGACTACCTATCCATGAAATATTCTCCGTAGCAAATGAAGGTTTTGTTGCATGATGTCCCGCCTAGGTTCAGCACAGGACTCCTCTTCCAGATTATTGACTTTGGGACCTCAATCGAAATCTCAGCATTCCTATTTACTATCTGCTAAAACTCAGAAACACCAGAAAATCAATATATTAGCGTGGGTCCTAAAATGTGACAAAGAAAGATTGTACAATCCTAACTCCTCAATGCACTGTCATTCGATTGGTACTCTGTTTCTTCCAAATTGAGACTTGGTCGCCATCTAGCATGTTAAATGGTTATCATTCCCAATGGTTCATCCAAGCAAGCTTGTTTTCTCACTGATAGTTGTTGTGCCACAAAAGGCCAATTGGGATTGGGGGTCGTGACTCTGACTTGATATGTGCGCATGCTAAGCCCATTGTCAGGCGACTTCCTTTGCTATTTGACCTGTGGAAGGTGGAAGCCATTGTTCTAACACGTCCACTGCAGTCTGAAGGCTATTTCTTAGTTTTTTCTTTTTTTTTTCACTCGCCCAAAATGCATAAAACGGTGCAATTTTGACAATCCAAGGAAAAAAAAAAAAAAAAAAGAAACGTGGCAAATTAGGTTGTCAAATTTGCCAAATCTCCCCTTCATGTACAGGAAATCGTTGGGACAATGGGAACAAATCTCAGACAAAAAAAAAAAAGACAATTGGAACAGTAAAGTTAGCATATACCAGGAAAAAAGGTTTAAAACAGAGTGATCCACTGGTGCCAAGCCTGTAAAGCCACCTTACTATGCCTCTGGCGTCTAATTTATTATAGTAAATTTTTTCCACTCGATTTCCGGTCCATAATCCAATTCTCTTGTCTTTCTTTGAAGATTTATCCTCTCTTTGTATTAGTTTCTAATTGATAATAAATGAATTATCTTTTGTATAAATACTATATTCTATTTTTCAGAAAATTGTATGAGTTTTTCAAATTTTTATCGAATTTTTTAAAGAATTTTTTTATCGTATTTAAATAAATGTGAAAGCAAGAATATTATCCATAATAAAATATTAAAATTGTGAATTTCTTTTACAACAATAGCAGTGGTTGTTAAAATTAATGAAGTGTTGCAAAAAATTTTTACAACGACAAAAATAATGTTGCGTCAGAATATTGGAAATCGTTGTGATTGTAAAATTAAACTATTAGAAGAACAAAAGAACTTGATGCCAAAGATGATTTGCAATCAAATAAAATTTGGTTGTAAATAATTATTTGGCACCTAATAAAATAATGTTGCTATGTTAATTTTTTTAACCAAATATTTGATAAAAATATAAATTAAACACAATTTATATAGCAATTATAATAGGTTGTTGCTGTAGATTTTTTTATATATAACTTTTAACCATAGAAGTAGGGTAACCAAATAACAACAAAGTGTTGCTAAAGTGTTTTAACAACAATAAAGTAGAGTTTTGCAACAACTTTTTTTTTTTTTTGCTAAACATCATTCTTCTTGCAGTTCGCTAAAAACCACCCCACGAAACGCATTCTGGACTTTATTCTGTTGAAATTGAATAACAAGGAGGTAGTCCTTCGACGTTTCCACACAAACCTGGGTTTCCAGCAAAGACTTCTCCGGAAGCATTTTGGAAGGGACCATCAGTTGGAACTGGACCTGTCAACTCATTGTAAGAGAAATCAAATGAACGAAGACTGATCATTTTGGATAATGTTGTTGGGATATCACCACAGAGATTGTTATGTGAAAGATTAAGATTCTGCAGTGAAATGAGTTTTCCCAACTCTAGAGGGATTTCTCCTGAAAATGAATTGCTGCTGAGGTCTAGTGAATACTGCAGAACAGCTACGCTCCCTAGCTCTCGTGGAATGTCACCAGATAAATTGTTGTGGTTCAAGCTCAGGCTCAATAACTTGTTACAATTCCCAAGCTCTTCTGGTATTGTTCCTGTCAAGCTGTTCTCTGACAAATCTAAATAATGAAGCTCCAGTAAATTAGCTATACTCCGAGGTATCTGTCCTGACAGATGATTCTGGCTCAAATTGAGGTTAAACAACATTTTCAGATTTCCGAGCTCATTAGGAATGCTCCCAGTCAACTCGTTTGAGCTCAGGGTTAGCACCTGCAACTGAGTTAACTTTCCAAGCTCAGCTGGTATTTTACCAGAAATTCGATTTCTGTCCATCGTTAGATTGGTAAGGCTTTTGCATTCTCCCCAGTCTGGCGAGATTTCACCAGTGAATTGATTGTCAGTAAGATTAACATATTCAAGATTTGGATGAACTCCGAATGCATTTGTAATGTTACCGGTAAATCGGTTCCCATTAAGACGAACTTCGTTTAGTCCACTACAGTTTCTCAAGCAAGCTGGCAATGACCCGGTGAAGTTGTTATATTGAACGGCCAAGTATTCAAGAGCAAAGCCACTGGACAATTCAGAAGGCAATTCTCCGGAGAAGCTGTTGTTGGAAAAGCAAACATAAGCCAACTGAGGAATGTATCTCCCAAAATCCTGAGGAATTCTACCTGAGAAATAATTACCATGCAATGAAAAGCCTTGTAAATTGGTGAGGCGAGAAATGGTCTCTGGCAACTCACCAGACAGTTGGTTCATGTCAAGGTTAATATTGGAGAGCGACGCCATATTACCGATCTCTTGTGAAATTGTTCCGTTGAGATTATTTTCGAAAAGCTGCAAGAGTTGTAGGTTTGTCAAACTCCATATTGTCAGAGGAATTGGACCTGAAAGCTGGTTTCTTGCAAGGCTTAATTCTATTAGATTTTTCAAGTTCCCTATCTCGAAGGGAATCGACCCCGATAATTTGTTGTTAAACAAATAAAGGTAGTTGAGCTTTGCTAATAAGCCAATTTCTGGAGGAATCCTTCCAGTGAAAGAGTTGAATTGGAGTTGCAATGAGATCAACTTGGTCCAGTTAGCGATAAGAGATGGCAGGATCTCACCCGTAAGAGAATTATTTGACAAACCCAGCTCAGATATTTTGGTGAGATTGGACAATGACAAAGGTAATTCCCCAATAAGTTGATTATTGGCTAAGGCCAGAAATGAGAGGTTAGAACAAGAACCAAGCTCAGAAGGAATTGTAGAATTTAAACCATTGGAATGAAGATCAAGTTTCTGAAGCTTTGTTAATCGGCCTAAGGAAGATGGAATCTTACCTTCAAATGAATTTTTAAACAATTCCAAAGTTTCAAGATCAGACAGGAATCCTATACTGTCAGGAATTGGACCATTTAACTTATTGGTTGCTAGATGGAGGTTGATGAGCTTGGAAAGCTTGGAAATGTTTGGCGAAAGCGGTCCTTGGAATGAATTATTTGTGAGATTGAGAGACTGAAGCTGGCCCAAATGGGTAAAAACTGACTCTGGTATTGGCCCATTCAAATGGTTCACTGACAGGTCTAGGAAAGTCAAATTCCTACAATCAGGTACGAAACCTGGAAAGCCTAACTTAAGTGAATTGTTTCGTAGACTGAGGTGTCTTAAGAATGGCATGGCTAAGAATTGGGACCAGTGAGGAGAGTCTAATTTGTTCCAGCCAAGGTCTAAGTACAACAATTTTTGAAGAGTGCTAACTTGGTAAGGAATAGTACCATTGAGATTGTTATTGAACAGACTGAGATATTGAAGCTCCTTCAGTCGCCCTAGCACCGATGGTATGTTACCTTCAAAAGAATTGTTGCTCAAATCCAGGAGAATGAGCTTGGACAGGCTACCAATAGCAGAAGGTATCGGTCCATTGAGACTGTTATTCTTGACTTCAAATCGTATGAGATTGGCGAACTGTGTGAACTTGAATTGGGTGAGAGTGCCGGTGATGTTTGCACTGAATAGGTTTATTTCAGAAAACATGCCAGTGCTGTCACAAGCAACATAAGTCCAGTTGCAGAGGTTGTTGATGTTTGCCAGGGACCAAGAATTGAGAGAAGTTGGAGAGAAAAGCAAGCTGTTCTTCCAATGAATGAGGGCTTCCGCTTGTGATCTTGGTGAAGAGGTAATCTTCAAAGGAAGTAAGGAAAGGAAGAGAAGATGGAAAACAAAAATGGAAAGCTTTTGAGGAGTTGACATACTTTTTTAGTGATCGAGTACTTCTATATGTGTTTCATTGCTCTTGATTAGCTCCCTTTTATAGCAGGCACTGGTTGCGATTTCTGCATATAATACAAATGTAAATTTTCATTTCATTGGTCTTAGATTAACCTATAATTTTTTTGGGTGTTATAAGAGATTGATCTAAGCAGAGTTTGTCTGAATTGTGAATTTGATGTGATAGAGATTAAACTATGTTTTTTACTAAATAAATTATGATTAACAAAGTCGACTTTTTTGGTTTTGTGTAGTCTATACTTTTCAGCTTCCACGAGGTTTGATCAATGAAATTTCTTAGTTTACAAGGGGGAAAATGGGGGTCTTTCCTGTTAGACTTTCCGAATTTCTAGATATGTTAACAGGAGGCTGGTTTTGTCTACAGGAATCAAAACACTGATGCCAGGACATAATTTTGTTCAATAGAAGACGGGCGCAAATATATAAATATAATATATATATATATATATATATGTATATATATTTGTTAAGATTTTAAAACAGATGCAAACTATAATTGATTATCATTGGCACACAAACTTTTTTTAATTTTTCCATAAACAATGGTAGCACGTACGGAGTATCTAAACAGTGTTTTTTTAAAAAAACAAACTAGGGTTTTTTTTTTTTTTTTAAAGTAAAAAAGCAACGAAACAAGTAAAACTAGGGTTTTTCGAACTAAGAAAACAAGGACCAAATATCATATTATTCTCAAGTTTCGAACCAAGTAAAAACTATATGTTTTTGGGGCCAACATAATATTTAATCTCAAGTTTCTTTCGGAACAAGTGTATTATATTTTCATAAAACAATGAGTTTCTCCTTTTTTTTTTTTATTTGCTTTTAATATTCTCGTAGAAAAAATTGTGATAGGTTTTTTAGTCCGTTAACTACCACGAAAATTGAAAGGATATTTATCAATTGTAAAATTGTCAACCTCCTACTTCCTTGATTTGATTTTCTGATGCGTTTTTACATTGAAAGATTTGTGTTCATGCATGTTTGGATATTATTGGCGTTTTACTTGCATCGTAGTTTGTTGGAACTTTTAATTGTTAATAATTAAAAGATAAATTATTATATTTATTGTTGAAATTTTTAATTTCATATGAAAAGTTAGTTGCATGACACATATCATTTAAAATATAATAAAAAAAAGAAATACGCAATAATTTCATTTGTAAAATTAAAAAAACTATATGATCAATGTATCAAAAACGAATTCTAATTAAAAAATTATGTTTGAATATAAATTTTGTTTATTTTTTATAGATTTTAAATTAGTTGTACCAATTTATTTTTTATTTCATAATAATAATAATAATAATAAATAAGTAATCGTGTATATAGTTGTGATATATGTTAATTAAGTATAGGTAAGGAATGAAGTTTTTTTTTAATTTCACACATGAAAATTTTTTTTATGGATACCTAGAAAAAGTTTAAAGAAGGTATATAAATAAGAATCATTAGCTAAATCAAGTCTAAATTCAATCAGCACATGTGAACAAGTTAAATGGTACAGTATACTATTTTCATGGCCATCTGTTTTCAGAATTTGCATAACATAGTTTTATTTCCATATTCAAAATGAAATAAACTATTGATTAATAAATTTTTCTTCAGTTCCATCCCCAGAGACAGGCAATTTATTTTATTACAGAGAAAGATGTAACCTTCCTGGTATAATCCTCCTTACTTTGGTCGGCCAGTTAGACAGGACATCACTCTCTCAAAGGCAGGTGGACAATTTACATTGCGGTAACCAAGCGTTTCCACTTAAGTCAAAAGTCAATTTCTTACAATAGTAAAAAAAAAAAAAATAGTAGTAATATTAATAAAGGCAGATTAATCTTACCTGACCATGTATATAATATTTTTAAATTTGTTGATATAATTATGCGTTGGGTGAGAAAAGGGCTCATTGATATTTTATACTTGCAAGGGTAAAACAACTATTTCTTCCATGCTCTCTAGGTAACCCTAAAATCATTTATTTTCTCCCTTTCACTTCGCCTTAATCTATTGTTGTTGTTATTGTTTTTTTTTTCTCCTTCAATGCTTTAATTTAATTGTTGGAATACAAATGCTGAAACTACTTTCAACTATTATTTTTTACTGTCGTTTACTTTATTTAGTACTCATCTCGAATATACTTTCGGCGTAAATAAATATTAAGCTTTGTATCAATTTAGCTTTTTATTTTAAATATTAATATATTGTTTATACATATTAATAATAAATATTTTAATTATTAAAAATATTGAAAATAATAATTATATAAATTCTTAAATAGGAAAAATGAATTAAAAATTGTTCTGCTTTATATTTCATTTTTTCTGTCAAATTATTTTATTTCAACTTTAGAAATAAAAATGTCTTTCCGATGAATGATCAATTTTTCTGCTTTGCTATAATTTACAATGTTATTTTTTAACCAAAGTTTTTAATTCTTTAAATACTAGCTCTTTTATTGTCGAACTAAGAATAATTAGATAAATAAAATAAAAAATTTATTTAAAAAAAAAAGAAACATTAAACATTGTGATACAATAAGATAAGTTTATTATTTATATGTGAAAAATTATAAAATAAAATAAGAAAAAATTTGGTCTATACGTGAAACATTTGTTTAAGTAATTTGCTTCTAACAGTATTAAAATTTAGAAAATAATTATGCATAAAAAATTATTTATAATTAATAAAAAGTCACATTATTTTGATGAATGGCTATATCATTTTGTTTAAATAGTTAAATATAACTCTTTTGTTATATAATTATTATAAATAATTACTTTTATTCAAATATAATTATTCATTTAAATAGTAATAACTTGTTTCTTACATTAAAATTATTTTTATTCAAACATAATTATTTAAAATATACAAAAAATTAAATTTATTCATCAAAAATTAAATATTTCTATTTAATATAGACTACAAAATCTTGCATAACATTCTAAACCATCAATATATGAAACTTTGATCTTAATTTTTATAAATATTTTGCACTAACACTATTTATATTTAATCAAATATAATTCTCTATTAATTTTCTTTTACTTTACACGTTTTGAAAGGAAGAATAAAGAAAAAGTAGCTAACGATTGATTTCTCAATGAAAGATCTCAAGGTTCAACCATACTCATCCAAAGGATCATTATGATAAAGTAAAGGAATGAGATTCAAGTATAACTTAACTTTTTCTTTTTTTTTTTTTTGGTTAAATAAGCTAGATTTTGAATAAAGTATTTTTTTTTTTTTTGTATTCATTGCCTTTCAAAATAAATAAATAAAATAATATTATGTATATATAACAAACATGCTTTCATCACTCTATTTTTTTATATTCGAGATTTTTAAAATTAAATTTTAATCATTAAAATTAAAAATTAAATATTTTATTAAAAGATCATTCAATAGTTGTTATTAATTATAAATTATTTATTTTGGGAGGGATGCAAACTAGTGGTAAAAAATATTAGCCTAAACATAACATGAAAAAATTAATCACATAATGAAAAATTTTGAGCATCTATGTTTTCACATTAAAATTTTGGACCACCTCAAATTGCAATATCCGCCCGATCTTGACTTTTTAAAAAAAAAAAAAAATTTTTTTTACTTCATGCAGCAATAAGAAAAGTACATAAAATTTTCGTCATTTTTTTTTTTTAACGACATGAAGCGCTGAGCACACTTATTCGTTTTTCTTTTGGGCAATTAAGCACTGCTCCTATTTAATAATGAAGGGTTTCGTTTCAAGAGTTCTCTTTAAAATTAATTAATATATTATTTATGATAATTTTTAGTATTAAAAATAATAATTAATGTGATAATTTTAATCATAAAAAATATTTTTATAATAATAATAATAATAATAATAATAATAATAATAAAGAATGTTTTTGTTAAGATATTCATTAACAAATCTATTAATAAAAAAATTCATATTTTAAATTAAGGCAAAAAATATACTTTTTCTGTTCTAATTAAATTGTCATAATTAATTTTTTATATTTTTTACCTTTGGTCGTAATTATTTTAAATATTTTAATCATTTAAATTTCGTAGCACATGTATTTAAAAACTACTTTATTTAAAATTTTTAAAATATATTTTTATATTTTATCAGTTATAAATATAAAATAATAAAAATTTAAAATTTAAAATTTAAAATTTAAAAAATTTGACCAATCAGAATGCGACTATTTAATTGAGCATTTTTGAAATGATTACACAGGGTGAAATTCTCTTATTATTTAGTTAAGGATTGTTCGATAGACTGAACAAATTTAATATTAAAAAATTTAATTTTTAATTTTTAAATATTTAAGTATTGAATTTATAATGAAAAATTATTTAGTATATTATTAAAATTTAAATTTTCATTATATTTTTTATTAATGCTTTATAAAAGTGATGTATAAGATTTATAATTATTTTGAATTGATAAAAATTAAAATCAAATTTTTAAAATAAAAGAATATAAGATTAATGAAACGGATTAATTTTTTTCTTAAATAAAATTGATTTAATAATAAAATTAACTTAATACACTAAATAACTAAAGCTACATAGCATTTTCAATACTTTTTCATTAAAAATCTTTCATCAACTTATTTTTAAAATTGATTTATCTAACGCATTTAAAAGTTTTGACAATAAAACGCATTTAAAAACAAAACCATAAAAATTTTAATGATTTATCAAACAGTATAATAATTTAAAATTTTTTGTCCCCAAACACAAAACGGTGCGTTTTTTCCAATACAAGAAGGAAGAAAAAAAAATATATATATAGAAGGAACAAGTGTGTCTTCTTAATTGAGCCAACAAAACGCTGGATCTCCTTGAGTGACAGAAGTGTAATGCAGGCGTAACTCCATGGTGAAGTGGGATTTGGTTGGCTATTAGTTTTGCGTCATTCTTCTACGTCTGATATTCCTGTTAGCTTGCTAACGGTTATCTTTCCCAATGGTTCACTCAGGCAAGCCTGTCTTCTTGCTGATAGATCTTGTGCCACAGAACGCATGGTGGGTCTTGACTCTGCCTTGATATTTGTGCACTTCAAGCCCAGAGTGACTACAAACACAACTTCCCCTGCAACTTGGCCTATGGGAGGCGGGAGTCGTGTGTCTAGCACATCCTTCAAAAACACTTCTGTACTTTCTGACGATAAAGTTGATGATGTCAGGGGATTCAAGAGTTCCCCTGGATGCCTTCCCATCATAACCTCTAATGCCACTACTCCAAAGCTGTAAACATCACATTTATCTGTGAGACTGCGCCGCACTGTGAGTGCAAGTTCTAAACATTTAAGCCAAAAAAAAAAAAATGTTACCCTTCGTGTAAAAACCAAGCAAATATAAGGGCTACAAATGTAGATCTATCAACGTTAAGTGAAATCAGAAAGCACAAATTACATTTTTAGCTAACCTGGAGCCATGTAGCCAAAAGTTCCAACAGCTGCGGTCCAATTGGATGAATTTGGATCCAACAACCTTGCAGTGCCAAAATCTGAGAGTTTTGGCTCAAATCCTGCTTCCACCAAGACGTTACTCAAAGATATGTCTCGGTGTATAATAGGTGGAGAGCAGTCATGATGCAAGTAAGAAATTGCATGAGCCAATCCTTGAACAAGTTTCACCCTTGTCGCCCAGCCTAACTCCACTTCCCCTTCTGCTCCGTACAATACGCTTTTCAAACTTCCTCTCTCCATATACTCATAAACCAAGTACAAAAGCCCCCTATGAGAACAGAACCCGTAAAACTTGACGACATTTCGATGCCTCACCTCTGTTAGCATACGGATTTCATTCTCAAAACTTCGGCGATTAGTAGCTAGAATGTCAATGGAGTCTGATACATTGAGTTTTTTAACCGCAACTATTTGACCTGTAGGCAATAATGCTTTGTAAACACTGCCGGATCCTCCTTTCCCAATACAGAATCTTTCACTGAAATCCTCTGTTGCTGTTACAATGTCTCCAAATTTAAAATTTCTTTCTTTTGACCAAATCGACTCAGAACCTTCCAACTTACTACCTTCAGCTTCCTCATCTGGCTGATCCCGTAGATAATGACATGCAAAAACTGAAGCGGCAATTGTTGCTAAGCCGAAGACAGAAAGAACTACCCCAATAACCACCTTCACAGTACGCATTCTGGACCTTTTTCTGATTGAAATTGAATAACAAGGAGGCAGTCCTTCGACATTTCCACACAAACCTGAGTTTCCAACAAAGGCTTCTCCGGAAGCATTTCGGAATGGACCAGCAGTTGGAATTGGACCTGTCAACTCATTCCAGGAGAAATCAAATGAACGAAGACTGATCATTTGGGGTAATGTTGTTGGGATTTTACCAGAGAGATTGTTATGTGAAAGATTAAGATTCTCCAGTGAAATGAGTTTTCCCAACTCTGGAGGGATTTGTCCTGAGAATGAATTGCTGCTGAGGTCTAATGAATACTGCAGAGTAGCTAAGCTCCCTAGCTCCGATGGAATGTCACCAGATAAATTGTTGCGATTCAAGTTCAGGCTCAATAACTTGTTACAGTTCCCAAGCTCTTCTGGTGTTGTTCCTGTCAAGCTGTTCTCTGACAAATCTAAATATTGAAGTTCCAGTAAATTACCTATATTCCGAGGTATCTGTCCTGACAGATGATTCTGGCTCAAATTGAGGTTAAACAACCTTTTCAAATTTCCAAGCTCAGTAGGAATGCTCCCAGTCAACTCGTTTGAGCCCAGGTTTAGCAACTGCAACTGAGTCAACTTTCCAAGCTCAGCTGGTATGTCACCAGAAATTCGATTCCTGGCCATCTGTAGGTCGATAAGGCTTTTGCATTCTCCCCAGGCCGGCGAGATTTCACCAGTGAATTGATTGTCGTTAAGAGTAACATATTCGACATTTGGATAAACTCCGAATGCATTTGTAATGTTACCGGTAAATCGGTTCCCACCAAGACCAACTGCATTTAGTCCACTACAGTTTCTCAAGCAAGTTGGCAATGACCCCGTGAAGTTGTTATGTTGAACACCCAAGTATCCAAGAGCAAAGCCACGGCATAATTCAGGAGGCAATTCCCCAGAGAAGCTGTTGTTGTAAAGGTTAACATAATTCAACTGAGGAATGTATCTCCCAAAATCCTGAGGAATTCTACCTGATAAATAATTACTATGCAATGAAAATCCCTGTAAATTGGTGAGGCGAGAAATGGTCTCTGGCAACTTCCCATACAGTTGGTTCATGTCAAGGTTAATAGAGGAGAGTGATGCCATATTACCGATCTCTTGTGGAATTGTGCCGTTGAGATTATTTTCAAAAAGTTGCAAGAGTTGCAGGTTTTTTAGACTCCATATTGTCAGAGGAATTGGACCTGAAAGCTGGTTTCTTGCAAGGCTTAGTTCTATTAGATTTTTCAAGTTCCCTATCTCGGAGGGAATCGACCCCGATAGTTTGTTGTTAAACAAATAGAGGTAGTTGAGCTTTGTCAATAAGCCAATTTCTGGAGGAATCCTTCCAGTGAAAGAGTTGTATTGGAGTTGCAATGAGATCAAGCTGGTCCATTTAGTGATAAGAGATGGCAGGATCTCACCCATAAGAGAATTATTTGACAAACCCAGCTCACATATTTTGGTGAGATTGGACAATGACGAAGGCAATTCCCCAGTAAGTGGATTATCGGCTAAGGCCAGAAATGAGAGGTTAGAACAAAAACCAAGCTCAAAAGGAATTGTAGAATTTAAACCATTGGAATGAAGATCAAGTTTCTGGAGCTTTGTTAGTTGGCCTACAGAAGATGGAATCTTATTTTCAAATGAATTTTCAAACAATTCCAAAGTTTCAAGATCAGACAGGAATCCTATACTCTCGGGAATCGGACCATTTAACTTATTGGTTCCTAGATGGAGGTTTTTGAGCTTGGAAAGCTTGGAAATGTTTGGTGACAGTGGTCCTTGGAATGAGTTATTCGTTAGATTGAGATACTGAAGCTGGCCCAAATTGGTGAAAACTGACTCGGGTATTGGCCCGGTCAAATGGTTTATTGACAAGTCTAGGAAAGTCAAATTCCAACAATCAGGTACGAAACCAGGAAAGCCTAAACTAAGTGAATTGTTTCCTAGATTAAGGTGTCTTAAGAATGGCATGGCTGAGAATTGGGACGAGTCAGGAGAGTCTAATTTGTTCCACCCAAGGTCTAAGTACCACAGTTTTTGAAGAGTGCTAAGTTGGTAAGGGATAGTACCATTGAGATTGTTGTTGAACAGACTGAGATATTGAAGCTCCGTCAGTTGCCCTAGCACCGATGGTATGTTACCTTCAAAAGAATTGTTGCTCAAATCCAGGAGAAAGAGCTTGGACAGGCTACTAATGGCAGAAGGTATTGGTCCATTGAGACTGTTATTATTGACATCAAAACGTGTGAGATTGACAAATTGTGTGAAATTGAATTGGGTGAGAGTTCCAGTGATGTTTGCACTGAAGAGGTTTATTTCAGAAACCATGTCAGTGCTGTCACAAGCAATGGAAGTCCAGTTGCAGAGGTGGTTGTTGTTTGCCACAGACCAAGAATTGAGAGAAAGTGGAGAGAAAAGCAAGCTGTTCTTCCATTGAATGAGGGCTTCCGCTTGTGATCTTGGTGAAGAGGTAATCTTCAAGGGAAGGAAGGAAAGGAAGAGAAGATGGAAAACAAAAATGGAATGCTTTTGAGCAGTTGACATGCTTTGTTTTAGTAATCTGAGTACTTCTATATGTGTTTCATTGCTCTTGATTAGCTCTCGTTTATAGCAGCTACTGGTTTCGTTTTCTGCACATAATACAAAAGTAAATTTTCATTTCATTGGTTTTAGATTAACATATATTTTTTTCCGGTAGTTAGAAGAGATTAATCTAAGCAGAGTTTGTCTGAATTGTGAATTTGATGCGAAAGAGATTAAACTATGTGTTTTACAAAATAAATTATGATTAACACAGTGACTTTGAACATGTTAACTGCTAATATTTGTCTGTATTTTATCACCCCTTTATGCTTTTTTAAATGTAGCCTATTTGAACTTGACCATATCAGTTTATAGTACTTTTCAGCTTCTAAGAGGTTTGACCAATGGTATTTCTTAGTTTACAGGGGAAAAAATGGGGGGTATTTCATGTTAGACTTTCTGGATTTCTAGATATGTTAACAGGGGGCTGGTTTTGTCTATGTGAATTAAAACACTGGGCAAGACATAATTTGGATTAATAGAAAGCAGGTGCAAAAATATATATATTTTTTGCACATATTTCATAACAGATGCAAACAATAGTTGATTAACAGTGGCACAAACTTTTTTTCCCCCCATAAACAATGGTAGTACAGACTCCAGAGCATCTAAATACAGCGTTTCCCTTTTTTTTTTTTGGGGGGGGGGGGGGTAGGGTGAAGAAACTAGGGTTTTTTCTCTTTTTGAAAGTCAAAGAAAAACAACTAAACATGTAAAAGGTACGGTCTTTTGACACAAGTAAACGACAGCAGAAACAAAGCATAATTATATTTTCATGTACGACGAAATTGCGGTAGTTTCATAGGGACAATTAATTTCTGCTCTTTTCTTATTTTAATTTTCTCATAGAGAAAATTGTGATGCTTTTCTTGTCCGTTTGCTACTATGAAAATTGAAAGGATATTTATCAATTGTAAAATTTTCAAACCTCGTGCTGCCTTTATTGGATTTTCTGATACATTTTTACATTCACAGATTTATGTTCACGTTAGGATATTATTGGTGTTCTACTTCTCATGCTAGTTATTGGAATTTTTTTCATTGACAATGAAATTTTAAAATTTCATTAGCATAATTAATAAGATCACACATATTCTTTAAATTCTAATAATTAAAAATAATTAAAAATTAAAATATGTGATAAATTTTTAGTTCACTTGTAAATTTTAAAAAATTATATGGTTAGTGTATCAAAATGAACTCTAATTAAAAAGAATTTGTGTTTGAATATGAAATTTATTTTTTACCATAGATCGTAAATTAGTTGGACCAATTCATTTTTTATTTAATGATAAATAATAATAATAATAATATATAATTGTGATTTGATAATTAAGTTTAAAGTAGGTAAAAGTTTTTTTTTTTTAATGGAATCCTATGAAAAAGTTTGAAGAATTAGAAACTTACCCATCATCTTTGGAATAACATTACCTCAATCAAGTCTAAATTGTTGGTAAGAACAATAAGGTTGGGCTAGAGTTTTACATTAACCTTAATTGACTAGAAAATTTAAAATGTTCACTCAGTAGTTTTAAAAAATTTCCAGTATTGAATTATTCACCACATAAAGTTGCTATAATACTCTTCACAATTTCAAAATATTAAAAATATATTTGCAATAACAACCCTTCACAGTTTCAATTTTAGCCGTAGCTCTATTTTAAGTTCTTATAAAATATTTCCAAAATCAGTTTAGAATAAACAAAATTCCTATTTTCGAATAATTTTTAATTGAATTCTTCAAAAAAATATATAAATTGAATAACCTCAAGCAATCCCATAGAATTTTTGTTACTCTTGAAACTTGATTAGTTGTATAGTATTGGCATGTGAATTGAAATAATTTGGTGCATACTATGCTAATATTATATTTTTTTAATATTTAAAATTATTAAAATTTAAATTTTAATCATGACAATTAAAGGTTGACTGGTATTTTAACTTTGGATTGCTTTGCTTTTCAGTATTAAAAGGCAAGTTGAGGTGCAGCTCATGTGAACTAACATAGTTTTATTTCTGTATATATCAAAATGATTAAAAACTATAGATTAATAAATGAATTTTTCATCATTTTCCATGACAGGAAGTTTATTATTTAACAAAGAAGGATACCACCTTCCTGGTAGAAACCTCCATAAGTTGGTTGGTAGATAGGTTGTCTCACACTCTCAAGGGCAAGTGGACGATTTACATTATAGCCAACGACTCCGCTGAAATCAAAAGTCAACTTCTGACCAGAGAAAAAGATTGTAATAAATGTAATTCTGAGTCTTATCACACCGTATATTCTTTAATCCGACACTAAAAAAAGGCTACAAAGACTGAAGTTTCTGCAGTAGAAAACAAAATGTGCTTCGTACAAAAATGTTGAATATTGGCCTTGCAATTTGGTGATTGGGAGTTGGAGCATGGAGAAAAAGACCTAAGCCTGAAGCCACTCCAGGACTGTTTTGCAGCCAATAACCTTTTGAACCTTTGAAGGTAGCGTTTGGTTAGTAAATTTTTTTATTTTGGATGAAAATATAATATTTAGAAAAGTATGAAATTTAAAGTTTTATTTAATTTTCATAACATTTCATATTCAAATTCATTAATTTGGTTAAGAAAAATTCACGTCTACTAATTTTTGTATAATTATCATAATTTCTTTAACAAACTTAAAGTAACCTTTTATTTTATTTTATTAATAATAAATATACAAATAACAAATGATATCTTTAACAGTAAAAATAAATTAATATTTTAATTGATTATTATTTTAATTTATAACATATCATCAATTAAGGTGTTTGTTAATATAATTGCCTTAATTATTAGTTTTATAATTTATATAACATCATCAAATAAGGAATTTATTAACATGAATGCCTTAATTGACAATCTTATATTGTTTAAAACACAATCAATTAAGGCGTTTGTTACTTTGAATGCCTTAATTGATACATTTCATTAATGTTTTGAATACATCATCACGGTGTTTGTTTAGGTGAATGCCTTAGTTAATTTTTTTTATTTATAAAATATGATCAATTAAGGCATTTTCTATTATGAATGCCTTAATTGATCTTAATCAATTCATATATAAATACCATATCAATTAAAGCATTTCTCATTATGAATGCTTTAATTGATTTTTTTTATAATTTATAAAACAGATTAATTAAGGCTTTTGTGTTTATGAACGTCTTAATTGATCATTTTTTTTTATTTTTTTTATAATCAATTAAGGTGTTTTGGGGTTGAACGTTTTATTTGCTCAAGTCAATTAAGGCATTTTAGGTGGTGAACATCGTAATTGGTTGGCAATTTTTATCAAATATGACATTTATTGTTAGAAATGCCTTAATTGCTCTTGAAATAAAAAGTATTTAAATAATTCAATTAAAGCGTTTGTTATACACAAACATCGTAATTGATCATTTTAAAACATTCATTTTATATTCTTGAACCTTAAAAAACTAAGCTGCTAATACCATTGAACAATAAAAGGAACCATTTGTGTATTTTCCTAAACCATAAACCGATTTACTTGGCATTTTCATTTCTTCATCTTTATCGTTGCCATTGACCGTAGTACACTTAGCGCCTTTGCACATTGTTTTAATCTAGTAAGTGCAAATTTGTACCTTTTTGTACAATGTTTATTCATTTATGTATGTCATTTTTTTTTCTTGCTAACTATATATATTTATATATTTATTTAGATATGCATTTACCATCGTTACCAATGTCTTACACTCTCTCTGCATTGCATGCATGATATTTTTTTGGTTGTTTAGTTAGAGTATTGTGGTTTGTCGATTGGTTATATGGAAAAAAAGTCATATATTTTTTTCTCATTTATTTGGCATGGACTCTTGTGATGCAATGAAACACAGTATGACTTGTATCGTGTATAATATTATTGGTTTTGTTATATGTAATGTATATTGGTGTATTTACTGTATTAGATATTGGTTGTATTTATTGTGTGGATATGTAGAGAGACAGTTTGGTTTATTTTATACAATTCTGATTAAAATCGCATATATTATGGCTTTCGACTAATATATGTCTCTTTCTATTGAACATGAAAAAGACATGCCCGCATTGAAAAAGAGAAAATTAAGGGGACATGGTAAATCGTTTAAATGAGTGGGATGAAAATTCATGCGAAGTTCAATCAAGATGGGTAGCTTGTGTTAAGTGGAGGTACAAAGTTAGCTAGCCACATTGGAGCTATCATCTGGTAGAGTGTATTTATTACCTACCCTAGTTAACGGATGGTTCCTAATGATAAAAAGGATTATTTATGAGATTTGGTTATGGTATATTTATTCAACGATAACCAAATTTTTATTAGTTGTTAGTGGAATTGAATTACTGTGTTAAGTTTATTTAATTTAATCATATTTTTAGGAGCTGTTTGACGTCCCAACCTAGTATGAAAAGCTTGTATTACAATCGGTTGAGAAAGCATTTAGAAACTTTAAGAGCATATTGACAATCTAATATATTTTACTGTTCACTGATAATTCTGAATTATTGGTTGATCTTCTATGACATATGCAGATGTTATCAGTTATGAAGAATGATCATAGTTTGTTTAAGATTATCTATCAGATGAATTCTCAATATACGTATCTAGTTCATTAATTGTTTATAATATTTTTTTCAATATATTTGTATGTTAATATGTAATTTATCCTTTTTTTTTTAAAAAAATCAAAGAATAACAAAAGAACATATAGGCCCAACAATTATATCACTACCAGACATCAAGTAAAGGTTATGCAAATGTCAAGCATGATCTTTATAAGTATTCAAACACCTTTATTATACTTGTATATGAATATTTATGAAATGTAAATGGAAATGTGAAACTTATTATGATTGACGATTTTAGGAATCATCTAGCTTTAGAACCAAAGTTTCTAGATGGGATGTTTAGAAAAAAAGATAGATGCACAAAGATGGATCGTTCACAGATGAAGCAACTAAATAAATGATTAAAAAGATTATAAATTGATTTTATTTTTGTATCACGTGTGATAAATATGCTTTTATGCATGGCTAAATATTGTATTTGTTTAGTTATGTACCATTATGTTATGTTTCGAGATGAATTTGCCATGAGATATGAATTCGGTGACTTGCAAATCGGTTATGGTGAAGATTTGTTGTCCTTAGCTTTAAGATCTAAAGAGAGACATGATCGAGTTCAAAAAGGTTGGTAGATTTATGTTGCTATCACAGTTCTTCAAGAATCAATCGAAACCTTGCGCAATAAAAAATGAAAAAATATGAAGCAATCATTCAGCAGTAATAGCAAAGACTTAATGAATAAAGCAACGTCTTAATGATCAATAGTAATAACTCGCAGCATTTGAGGTACTGTTGGCAGCAATGTAATCTAACGTGCTTTGAGGGTAGTCTATTATCGGTATTCAGTAGGGAAATGAATTTGCAAATCAAGTTTTACAGCAAACCCAACCTTCGATAATCATTATTATTTTTATTATTTTTATTGAATATTTATTTTTTTATTTATTTTTTCAATTGGTTTTAGGATTTATATTTCATATTATTTTGTAGCAAGATGTTCAGATTCAAACGATGACACTTGCACAGTCTACCATGAATGCGTTAACCACTTATGTGCGTGATCATTTATCAAAATAAGTCATCATTATCATTGAAGGGAGTATGAATTATTTGATTATCCTTCAATGTCTTACATTGGGCGGTCAGAGATTGATGCATTTTGTACCATGGATGAGATATTGACTTCTGATATTGTTACGTATATGAGGTTAACTTATAATTTAATTTAAATATATTCTGTCAATTTGTTTTTCTATATTATATAGTATTACTAAATGATACTATTGATTGTCATTATACAGCTTTCTATGCAGAGTGATCAAGAAAAGACAATTGACCCATAGATTTAAATTCATTGACCCAAATTTGATTAGTAATTTAAATGGCACTATCACTACTTGTACTCATCATGTGGGTTAATGCATACAAAAATCGTCCGAATATTATCTGGTGCCTTATAATTTCAAGTAAATTCTATTCGTAGTAATAATTATATCATTTATGATATCTAATACATTTTGTATAATACATTCTTATACATTATGTATAATTATATCATTTATGATTGCAATCGGTGAACATCTCATTAGCCAGATTATTTTTAAACTGAGTTCAAGAATCAGATGGCATAATATACATAATCAAATTTTGATGTTCAGATCTATCTGGTTGGCTAATACTTCTTTCAGCAATATCATCTTTAATTGGGTCAATTACCATATCAAATCTAATAAAATTATAGAGAAGATAATAAGTAAAAATGATTCTACATTATGTTTTTATTGAATAAATTGACTATTCTCTTAAAATTGCCCATCTACTTTTCAATATACCAAAATATCTTTCGACATAATTTCTTACTTGAGAGTGTTTCATATTGAAGCATTCCTGTAGAATTGTCGATTGGAGTCCTGCCCTTAAATCACTAAAATGATATTATTAACCTCTATAAAATGCCAAGAAACTTTTTTCATTTGTGTATCCGGCATCATACAAATAATAATTACCTGTGACAGTGGAACGACATTAATAATATGAAAGAAATGTGTTTCATTATAAAATTAAAATGAACATAATAAAGATAATACCTTGTGGGATCCTCAACCCATTTTTGCATGTAATGGCATCTCTTAGCACTTTGCCATCTGCTGTAGAACTTTTTCATCTCGGTATAACATATATGAATTGCATATTTGGAATGCAAACACTAAAGACATTGATAACAATTTCATTTTTTCTAGTCCTCTATCTAGGCCTGTTAATTATGTCTATATTGACCTAGATGTATGTCTCATCTAAAGCACTCAAACAACCCTTGAACCATTTTTATCTATTATCTATGGAGTTATCTGGTATCAATTTAGATTTTTTAAATAACAACGTATGCAATCTTAAAATAAGATTCAACACATAAAAGAATTGCCTACTAATCATCCTTTTGATCTAGCTACTTGACACTTTATAACTCTTTTTTTTTTTTTTATGATGGGCTATGATGTGGAGAAAGCTAGTAACCAATTCTTGTATTGGCATATATCTAAATGCCTATAATTTTTCTTTTGCTTGAGCAAATGACATAATTTTACAAAAATTCTCATATCCATTTTAGTATATTTATACACTGTCTATCATTTTAAAAAATCATTGCATTTAAGTTTGATTTTCTAATATGTAGCCTATCATAAAATGTTTCACCATAAGAAAATCTACATCATTTAAGGTTCATATGTAATAAAGTCACAATAACAAAACATAACACATGTAACAAAGTCTCTATCTAGTTCAAATGCATCATAGGCAATGTAACCAATTGTTTCTTCATTTTTAGTGATAAATGATCCATAACTGTTTAGAAGATAAAATCTTGTTAAAGTTGAAAATATAATTGAAAAGCAAATATTTGCATATGATACATGAAATCTATTAAACATAAAAAAAGAAAATATAAATTAGTAACAAAACATTTTTGGATGAAGGAGCTAAAACAAATAAACCATAAACATATTTGATATGTCAACATAGTTTACATCCAGATCTAAACGACATCTTCAAAGATATAAAAAAAAAAGATTAGAATACAACAAATAAATACAGATAAGATAATTGGGAATCAGATAGTATACATATCGTTTTTTGAAAAAAAATAAAGATAAACTTAACAGGACGAAGATTAAATGATGGAAGTTAAAGTTGGTTCAAACAGAAAAGTATTTGCTTTAAACTCAGATATGTTAAAATAAAAATAAAAAATGTATTAATTATTGAAACATGATTATGACATCAATTAAGGCATTTTATATATAGAAATGCCTTATTTGATGTATAAAATATGGGTTCTTTTGAAGTCAATTAGACATCACAACGTTCATATTGTCAAAAAAGATCTTTAAGAAAAAAAACAAAATTTTAATATGTGACAATTATAGCATTTGAAGGAAGAAACGCCTTAATTTATAATTAATTAAGGTGTTTTTCGATTAAAATACCTTAATTAATAGCCGCTTGAATCTTTATCAAACTATAATTGAAAATCAATCACGATATTCCAGACCCAAAATAAAATTTAATATATAGCATTTAAGGTATATCTTTCTTGAAATGTTTTAATTAATAATCAAAGAAGAAACACTTTAATTGATGTACCAATTAAGGCGTTCTTCTTTAAAACCACTTAATTGTCACATATTAAATTAAAAATAAGATAAATTAAAAAAAAAAACCCTATAATTGAGTTTTAAATTTGCTTTAGAAAAAAATAACAGATATATGATTAATTTTTTATTCAAATCAAATTTAAAAATAATATATTTTTTTTGAAATCTTAAAATACAAAAAAAAAATTATTTCAAAACTTTAAATATTATTAAAAATTTGACTTTTTTTTCTCGTATTCGAATTATCTTGAATCATACAAGAGAAACAAATACCAGAAGCAAGTGGACAATTTATATTGCAGCCAACGATTCCGCTGAGGTCAAAAGCCAATTTCTGACCAGAGAAAAAAAATTGTAATAAATGTGATTCTGACTCTTTTCCCACCGTATATTCTTTAATCCGCATTAAAAAAAAGCTACAAAGACTGAAGTTTCTGCATTAGAAAACAAAATGGTTTTTGTACAAAAATGCTGAATATTGGTTTTGCAATTTGGTGATTGGGAGTTGGAGCATGGAGAAAAAGTACAGCCCGTGAAAATTGGTCCCATTGAGGCGCCAAACTTTTTTGGCCAAAAGAATGGAACCTAGCCAGGATTCACTCCAGGACTGTTCGGCAGACAATAACCTTTTGAACCCTTGAAATGTAATATTCTTATTGGTATATGGACAAGAATACAATACATACACTCTGTAACACATGCAAAATATGATACAAGGCACAAACATATCTGCTTTATAAGTAACACAAATGTAGTAAAAACTGGCTGCTAAATGACCTGAAGTCTTTGCTCCCTAGATTGAAACCTGCCTATTGTTTCTGTCTTAATCTATTTTTGAAAGCGAGTTAACTTGCTAATGGTTATAGTTCCCAGTGGCTCATCCAAGCAAGCCTGTGTTCTTGCTGATAATTCTTGTGCCACAAAACGCATGGTGGGCCGTGACTCCGGCACGGAATGTATGCAAGCTAAGCCTACCGTGAAAACAAATACAACTTCCTCTGCCATTTGGTCAGTAGGAGGTGGAAGCCGTTGGTCTAGCAGATCCTTCAGAAGCAATTCTTTGTTGTTTGATAACAATGTTACTGATGACAGGGAATTCAAGAGCTCCCCTGGGTGCTTTCCCATCATGATCTCTAATGCCACCACTCCAAAGCTGTAAATATCGCATTCAGTTGTGACTCTCATTGTGAATGCAAGCTCTGAAGACCAAGACATTAAACAAAGTCAACGATCACATTGCAATTGAAAACCAAGAAGAAAACAGAAAAGTCACTGCCAAAGTAGCGTCCAACGAAACATAATTAAGAATTAAATTGTTTACGAACCTGGTGCCATGTACCCATAAGACCCAGCAACCGTTGTCCAGTTGGATGAATTTGGATTCAACAACCTTGCAATACCAAAGTCTGAGAGCCTGGGTTCATATTCTTCCTCAAGCAGAATGTTATTCAAAGATATGTCTCGGTGTATAATCGGTGGAGAGCAATCATAATGCAAGTACGCAATTGCATGAGCCAATCCTTGCACAATTTTCACCCTTGTAGCCCATCCTAGCTCCACTCCTTGTTGTGCTCCATACAATACACTTCCCAAACTACCTCTTTCCAAATACTCATAAACCAAGTATATGCCACCTCCTTTTGAACAGTATCCATACAACTTTATGATATTCCGATGCCTAACTTCTGTTAACATATGAATCTCATTCTCAAAACTCCTGCTGTTTGTTACTTGAGTATCGCTGGAATCTGACAAATTCAGTTTTTTAACTGCAACTACTTGACCTGAGGGCAATACTGCTCTGTAAACACTTCCAAATCCTCCTTTTCCAATGCAGTACTTATCATTAAAGCCTTCTGTGGCTTTTTCAATGTCACCAAATGTAAATTTTCCTTCTCTTTCCCAAATGGTCGACTCAGAAACATTAGTCTTTTTACCAACTTTAGTTTCTTCATCAAGCATCTTGCTTTGCCGGCAATATATAAACACTCCAGCAACAATTGCTACTATAATTAATATGCCACAGACTGGAACAATGATAGCGATAAGAACCGTCTTGTTATTGGATTTGCTCTTTGTGGGAGTTGAAGGGCAAGGAGTTAATCCTTCAGCATCTCCACACAAACCTGAGTTTCCAACAAAAGCATTTCCAGAAGCATTTTGGAATACACCAGTACTTGGAATCGGGCCTGTTAACTCATTGTAGGAGAAATCATATACACGAAGACTAATCATGGAGGACAATGAAGTCGGGATTGTGCCTGACAGATCGTTATGTGAAACGTTTAGATTCTCCAATGAGTCAAGCTTCCCTAGGTCTGAGGGGATTGAGCCTGAGAGTGAATTGCTGCTGAGATCCAGTAAGTACTGCAAAACTGATAAGCTACCTAGCTCACCTGGAATTGCACCAGATAAATTGTTGTGACTCAAGCTCAAGCTCAATAATTTTTCACAATTCTCAAGTTCTTTTGGTATTTCTCCTGTCAATTTGTTCCCTGATAGATCAAGGTAATCTAAATTCACTAAGCTGCGGACGACAATCTGAGGAATGTCACCTGTGAGATGATTCTGGCTCAAATTTAGATTGAACAACATGCTCAAATTTCCCAGCTCCAAAGGAATATCTCCTGTCAACTCATTGGCCCCCAGGTTTAGAAGACGCAACTGACTCAACTTTCCAAGCTCAGCTGGAATTCCACCAGAAATTCTGTTTCTGTCCATTTGTAGATTGGTGAGATTTTGGCATTCTCCCCACTCTGGCGAGATTTCACCAGTGAATTGATTGTCACTAAGAGAAATATAGTCAAGATGAGGATGAACTCCAAATGCATTGGTGATGTTACCCGTAAATTTGTTCCCATCTAACCGGACTCTTTTTAACCCTTCACAGTTCCTCAAGCAAGCTGGCAATGTCCCTGTGAAGTTGTTTCCATTTACCGTGAAATTTTCAAGAGCAAAACTACTGCACAATTCAGGCGGTAATTCTCCAGAGAAGCTGTTGTTGGAAAAGCTCACATAAGACAACCCAGGACTGTTCTTCCCAAAATCCCGAGGAATGCTACCAGAGAAATTATTGGTGAACACGGAGAATGCCAATAGGTTAGTGAGGCTAGAAATCGTGTCCGGCAATTCCCCATGCAAGAAGTTTGTGTTGACATCAAGAGATTGCAAGGATGTCATATTTCCAACCTCTGGTGGAATTGTGCCACTAAGATTGTTGTAGAAAAGCTGTAAACCTTCAAGATTTGAAAGACTCCATATAGTTGGAGGAATTGGACCCGAAAGCTGATTATCAGAAAGGTCTAAACTTTTCAGGGAATTCAAGTTTCCAACATCTGAAGGAATTGATCCAGAAAGGCTATTTTTATAGAGAAAGAGGAATTGGAGGTTTGTCAATAGGCCTATTTCTGGTGGAATCTTCCCCGAGAAAGAATTGTCTTGAAGTTGCAAAGAGATCAAGTTGGTCCAATTAGAAATGAGAGACGGTGGGATCTCACCGATAAAAGAATTTTCAGATAAACCCAAATCAGTTATCTTTGTGAGTTGTGACAAGGACAAAGGCAGCTCCCCGCTCAGTTGATTCCCAGCTAAGGCCAAAAAGGTGAGGTTAGTACAGAAACCAAGCTCGGGTGGGATTGTAGAATTTAAGCCATTCGAGCGGAGATCAAGTTTCTTGAGATTTCTTAGTTGGCCTAAAGAAGATGGAATATTCCCTTGAAACAAATTTTGGAGCAATTCAATTGTTTCAAGATCAGACATGGTTCCTAGACTCTCAGGAATTGAACCATTTAACTGATTGGTTGCCAGTCGAAGATCTATGAGTTTGGAAAGCTTGGAAATGTTCGAGGATAGTGGTCCTTCAAAGGAATTGTAAGTGAGATTGAGATACTCAAGCTTGCTCAGATTGGTGAACAATGATTCTGGTATTGGACCAATCAACCTATTCAGTGACAAGTCTAGGAAGGTAAGATTGTGGCAGTTGAGTACAAATTGAGGGATATCCAATTCAAGTTCATTAAAAGCTAAGCTGAGGTGTGTCAACAAGGGCATGGCCAAGAAATCGGAGGAGTCAGAAGAAACAAAGTAGTTGAATCCAAGGTCGAGGTACCTTACATTTTGGAGATTGCTAACTTGAGGAGGAATGCTACCGCTAAGATTGTTGTTGAATAGACTCAGATATTTAAGCTCTATTAGACGACCAATCTCCGGCGGTATGTTGCCTTGAAAAGAATTGTTGCTCAAATCCAAGACAAGCAGCTTGGCTAGAGTACCAACTGCGGACGGTATCGGGCCGTCAATACTGTTATTCTTGAGGTCAAAGCGGGTGAGATTGGCAAATGGAGTTAAGTTGAATTGAGCGATGGAACCAGACAGGTTTGCATTGGATAGGTTGATTTCGGAGACTGTTCCACTGCCATCGCAGTTAATGGAAGTCCAGTTACAGAGGTTGTTGAGGTTGGACAGTGACCAAGAATTGAGAGAAGATGGCGAAAAAGACAAGCTGTTCTTCCATTGGACGAGTGCCTCCGCTTGTGCTCTTGCTGAGCATGTGATCTTCAATGGAAGTAAAAAAAGCAAAACAACATGGAAGAGAACAAGACATGGATTTCGAAAAGTTAACATGCTTTAGTTGCTGAGGATTTAGCTTACAACTTTAGAAAACTTTCATACAGATACGAGAAAGGCCATACCATAAAATTCAATTTGCAAGTCTTCTTCGGCCTGCTATCCGTCAGTGCTTATCATTTACATATGGAGCCAAATGCAGCGACCCCATCTAAGATTATTATAGTTCAAAATGGAGAACAGAAACAGCCATGAATTTGACTTTGAAATGTGATTCAAAGTTGCCAGTTGCTACCCACCAAAAGCGATTAGGCTAAAGCACTTAAATAAGATTGGCCCAGTTGAGGATTTCCTAACTTTGAATTTGAACGTGCATAGATTACCTTTATATCTATTTTGTCTTTTTTACATTTTTAAAAAAGAAAATCAAGAATAAGATATTTTAAGTATTAAGTTTGAACTCTAAATTTATCTTTAAAAAAAAAAAGACTATGAATTATGAATAAATTGAATAAAGTTTTAAATTCATTTTATATCTTTCGCATTTTCATATTCTTTTTCTGCCAAGAGGGGTTGGATGATTAGGATTGTTTCAGAACGACTATTTGACTTTTTAACTTGAATAAAATAATATGGAGTGCATTAGAGTAACATACTTCATTTTCTCTTGTGTAATAGTGCTAATAAAAACTTAAAAAAAAAAAAAAAACAAAAAACAAAAATTTCAATTCTAAATAAAAAAATTATTTGATAACAACATTAGAAGTGTTTATTTTTACTTAGTAATTGTTTTTTATGATAATTTTTTATAGGAAAAGTTTTAATATATTTTTTTAAATTTATAACTGAATCAAATGATAGGGGTTTTTAATTTTCTTTAAAATAATAATAATAATAATCGATAAAAATTTGTCTCATTGGTAGAAAAAATGTCTTGAAAGTGTGATTTTCATCGATTTTATCTTATTGAATCTTCATGTATATTAAAAAGATTGTTTTATTTGATTATAATCTCATTAAAAAAATTTTCACTTCCACTTGCCACAACTCCGTAACCAAACATATAATAGACGGTCAAAGCCTTTAAAATTATGCTTGGGTTTATTTTCTTAAATATTAAAGTATTACTAGTTTTATGCACATTCACAATATGGAAATAAAAAAAAAAAAAAAAGAAAGTGAGTTTTAAAATTTGAATTCCATTTTTACTTTCCAAAAAATTAAATTACTAAAATTTTATTAGTACATATATTTTTATTTTTAATTCGTTTTTTAATTTTTAAATTAAACTGACATAATTTAACATATGACACTAATTCAATAAAAAATTTTATAATTATCTTAATTTTATGAAAAAAATTCTACCAATGCTTTTTTTTTTTAACAAATGATGTAATAGTTTCTTGCCAGAGAAAATAATTATAGATGATATAATTTAAATAATGAATTTGCTGAATGCTAACTATTATAAAGGTAGTTATATGAATCAATTAAAATAAGATTAAAATTCTTTAATATTTTATTTATTTTCAACAAATATAATTCTCTATTAACCTTTTTTACTTTACACGTTTTAAAAGAAAAAAATAGAAAAAGAAAGACAAACAAATGAGACATTTTTCTTGATACTCCTTCTGACACATTTTTTTGTCTATTTTTTTAATATCTCAAAATTATATCATATTTTCTTTTTTAAACATCTAAAACTCTTACTTTTATATTTTAAAATTATTTTTTAAGTTTTTTTTTTTTTTACTTTTTGACATTAAAAATCATAAAATTTTAATTTTATAAAAAATAATTTTAATTTTAATATTAAATATGTTAAAATTAAAACTTTTTTCTAAAGTTAATACATGACAAATATTTTGAGATGAAGGGAGTAACATATTTCAAGATTCAACCATACTCAGGATGGAACTTGACATTTAATTTTGAGGAGACTAAAACAATATTTTATATTAATTTTTTTAAAAATATATAAACTCTATTAATAATAAAAAAATAGATGCAAACATATAATAACAAATTTTATAATTATAAATATGTTAATATGTATATATAAAAAATAAAATGAATATATTAAATAGTTGATCTTGTTATTTCTAATTATAAATCACTAACAATATTTTTTATAAAAATAAAATAATTATATATTTTTTACAATATTAGCACATTATTTTATCATATTTAATATTTAAAGCATTAAAGTGAAAAAATCACAAAGAATTTTCAAATAAAAAATTAAATTTTAAAAAATAAAGTAAAGATTTTGATACGATAAATTGAAACATTTTAAATTTTTACATGATATTTTTGCATTATGAAAAATGAAAAGATTTTTAAATTAATCATATTAATTATTTTCACATATAACAATTTTCAAATAAAATGAATATGTAGAATCTAATAAAAAAAATTGGTTGAAAAAAAGAATCACAATTGGATATTTATCAAGTTGTTTTAATCATTATAATACTTGCATATATATATATATATATATATATATAATTTAAATTCACATATTCGTGAAAATATAGTATTGACAAATTTATTCACTTTAAATTAAAAAAATTATAATAAGTAAATACAAATTAAAAAATTATAATTTTTGTTGAAATTAAAAGTTGTAATATTTAGATACAAAGGACTTTTGTATCTATATATCCAATATAAATACATAAAATAATATATATATCAAAACAATAAATTTAAATTTGAAGGGGTCAAATTAATTTTTTTATAAAAAAATAAAATTATTATTAAAATAACATGTGTATAAAAAAAATTCTAAATTGTTGTTGGGCCATTGGCCCTAGGCTCTTTAATTAAAGGATCCGCCATTGACCATAGTCATACCGAAGATCATTGATGGTAAACAAAGGATTGAGATTCACGCATGCTTTTTTTTGTGGTTAAACGAGATAGGCTTCTGCAAAGTAAAAGTCAACTTTTGAATATTCAAAGTTCCAAATTTCTACACAGATTTTCGTCTAAGGGCCATGTTGGATTTTTTCAAACAACCATATTGAAAGAGATTTATCTGCTTTTTAAAGTCTAAAAGAAACAGCCAAAGATCATACTCAGATATATTCTACAAGAAAGGAAACTTCAAAATTTTATTGGTGTTCAACTTTTCATGCATCATAATTTGTAGTTCATACCTGCCAAAGGGCATTGTGAACCTGATGGCACCTTTTTCTCCCAGTGAATCACGGTTCGGGTAGACAGAGTAAGTGAAGAATCTTCCCTTGCACAAAGTCAAGAATATAACTGAATAAAAAATTAAGCTAGACAGTATTATTTGAGAAGAAGCAGAACAAGCTAAGCCATTCACAGTTCACACACTTTGCCATTTGTTTGACTAAAAGCTTTGATTTGTGTGGGTATTTCTTCTGTTATCCTTGGTTTAAAAAAAAATCCAATTAGAATAATTATTTTTTGAAATCTAATCTCTTAATTATTTTTTAAATATGTTGTCGACATAGTAAATAATCAACTATTCTAAGCTCAAGAATGATCAACTTTAATAATATGAACTAATTATGAATAATGACTGGCATGCACACAAATTTAATATATATATTATATTACAACATACAAGATTACATGACCAAAATTACTTATATAAATATCTAGATGGATAATCTCTTTTAATAACACATAGGATAATATTTATATTATTTTATTTATCAAATAAAATTTTTTAATGAATTATTTAAATTGAATATTTTGGATAATTATTTAAATTGAAATCAATATCTATCTAAGATTGAAATTTTTGCATAAGATTTAAATTCAAATATATTAAATCATAATTTATCTTTTCTTTTTAAATTTAATGATAGTTACAAATATATATACTTAATAAAATTTTATTTTTTGTCAAATAATTCTATTTAATAAATTATTTAAATTTAATATTTTTAGATAATTATTTAAATTCAAATCAAAATCTATCAAAACTTAAAAATTATTTAATAGATTATTTAAATTTAATATTTTTAGATAAGTTAATGAATTATTAACTAGAAAGCATGTATATTTAAAGTAATAAAAACTTACATCTTTATATGAAAATATGAGACATTTTAATGTTGATAAAAAAGTTAGATAAAAATATGTTTTTACTTTGGAAACAAACATAATGTTTTATTTATGTTCTAATTCAAATATTTTTATATTATATATTTGGTTAATTTATTTGTTTCTCTTTAGTTCATAACTTTTTTTAATTTTGCTTAGATTGATTATAATTAACTTTTTGTATTATATATTTTTTGTTTTATTCATTTCTTCAATGTTTTTATTCTCTATTAATTTATTAACATGTTTGCTTTTATTGTTGTTTATATTTAATTTTGACAAATTAATATGTAAATTTATATTCTCTATTTCGTTTTGCTATACTTTTTATTATTGAATTTCTTTATCTCACTACAAGAAAATAGAATATTAGTGACATTTTTGTAGCAGCGTTTCACTTACAAATACTATTAATTTCTATGTTTTTATAAAACTTAAGGTATTTATTATCAAAACATCATTAAATATTTAAATAGCAGCGTTGTAACTTATAAAACGTCACTCAAGACTTGGTATTAGCGGCGTTTATCGAATAAAACATATTGAGTAATTCTATCTTGCAAATAGAAACTTTTTTTCATTGATAATGAAATTTTTAAATTTCACAAGCATAATTAATAAGATCACACATATTCTTTAAATTCTAATAATAAAAAATTAGAAATTAAAATATGTGATAAATTTTTAATTTACTTGTAAAATTTAAAAAATTATATGATTAGTATATAAAAATGAACTCTAATTAAAAAAAATTTGTGTTTGAATATGAAATTTATTTTTTACCATAGATTGTAAATTAGTTGGATCAATTCATTTTTATTTAATAATATATATTTGTGATTTGATAATTAAGTTTAAGTTAGGTATGGAGTTTTTTTTTTTTTTGTTTTACATATGAAAAGTTTTTTTTTTTTTTTTTTTATGGAATCCCATGAAAAGGTTTAAAGAATTAGAAACTTACCCCTCATCTTTGGAATAACATTACCTGAATCAAGTCTAAATTGTTGGTAAGAACAATAAGGTTGGGCTAGAGTTTTACATTAACCTTAATTGACTAGAAAATTTAAATTTCAAAATATTAAAAATATATTCACAATAACAACCCTTCACAGTTTCAATTTTAGCCGTAGCTCTATTTTAAGTTCTTATAAAATATTTCCAAAATTAGTTTAGATAAAACAAAATTCCTATTTTCGAATAATTTTAAATTGAATTCTTCAAAAAAATATATAAATTGAATAACCTCAAGCAATCCCATAGAATTTTTGTTACTTTTGAATCTTGATTAGTTGTATAGTATTGGCATGTGAATTTAAATAATTTGGTGCATAAT